TCGGTGCGAATTGTAAGTGAAGATTGTTTTAATTTATGTAATTTTTTAGTTCTATTGTAACAGTTTTCTACTAGAATATACACGGCTATGTAATTGCGTTAAACATGGCATTACATTAATAATTTTACTTTTATGACGACAGTCAAATTTTCATATCTAGTGAACGTGAACCTTATCAATTAGGTTTCAATAGACGCTGACAAGATGGTCTTTTTGTACTAAAATATGTGATCCCTTGTAAGTTTTGTTCCGAGATTTGAAAAGTAACACTTTCTTTTCTTCTAATTTATTCGTTTATTAGAAGATAATATTTTCAAATCCGCATAGAAACATGAACCTTCAGAAGCTACTCTTTATTCTATTTCAGTTATGTACAGTATGCGTGTTTGTGTACCTGGCAGTTCCAGCATTTATTCTAGGAGTGATATTTATAACTCTGTTTGGAATTTCTAACTGCAAGAAGAATGAGGACGTGTCATATGACAGGAATGGTTTCTGTAGCTATGAGACCAACATTGACAACAACTATAATACAGCTGTACTCTGTTTGATCATGACGTTGATGTTGTTTCTCACCAATCTTGTACACGTGTATTTATTGTGTAAGTATGACGGTGACCTGGAGGATGATGAGGTGTATATAACGAGGGGTCACTCCAGCAGGGCTAGTGGTGGAGGGAAGTCATCACTCAACACGGGACGGTCATCTAACAGCAAGGGTGGTAATCGTACACTAAGAATGATGGTTCGAGACAGGAAAATACGGAATGATGAACAGAAACAACGGAGAATGGGCGTTCCTGAACACAAAATTAACAAGCTGTTCATGCCACGCTACTAATCTGATTTGAAACATTTGACACAAGTGATCTTAAATCAAACATACTCGAGTGTGGATTATGTTTTGTGATGGACGAGAGGTTAAAACATTGTCCACATACATTGTCTTTCATCAGGGTCTTTGAATTATTGTCAATACCCTGTTTTTATTTGTAATAAAATGTAAATAAAATTTTGTAGGTAATATGTTTCTGGCTGGCTGTGATATGATATTGTTGTTAAATAAACAAATTCATTTGTATATTATGTGTATTATTAACTTCGCCATCAAAATCGTTAAAATGAATTATCAGACATAAATGTATCCATATTTAAGGGTCCAAGACATTTGAAAACAGTCATGTGACCGTGAATATTAACGCAAAGGGTCAAGATTTGTAATTGATAAATAGGTCGTAATAGATAAATAGGTCGGTAAATAAAAATAAGATCAAGTAGATGCTAATAGCCATAGATTTATTTGTACAATATTTTGCTTTTAAAGGGAACAAAAAAATGATGCATAATTCCATGAAAAAAAGGTAATATATTATTACCCACCTGTGTTTTAAAGGTCTAACAACATGTCACCTTTGGACTAAACAAATATCGTCCCACAGGTCTAGTTTTATGTAAGCAAGTTATCAAATAAGTCTATGAAAAAAAATCTAACATAAAGGTCTCATTACAAAATATGATATATACAAATCCCATTTTGGAAAAAATTATCTAATTACAAAGATTTACAACATGATGATATCAGCCGAGTATACAAACTACAGGTTATAAAGTACACAAAATGTACAGCAAAACTAGGGAACAGAAAAGTTCGAAGGTCACAACAGTTCAATACCTTCATATGACGCCATATAAAACTGTTTAACTTAAATAGTGATGACATTAACATGTTGTCTACCTGTGTACAAGGCTCTAAAAATTAAAAAAATTTCATTGGAAAAAAAAATCTTACAAAAAGTCTGGAGGATTCAAGAAATATTAATTATATAAAGCTAAATTTACATTTCACCTAAAAAGGTACAAGAGTAATCTTATGCTTTCAAAATTGTGAAAATTTGTGAAAAAATAATAAATTCTGATATATTACAGAAAAATTATGGCATTAGAACAGTAGCGAGCTGAAAATAAGCATTACATAGATGTGTTTCAAAGCAAAAACTGTCACAAACATGTTGATTAACATTCACAAACTTATTTCTTAACATTGATTTATATAAAAAGTGTAAGCTAAACGAGACTTAAGTGTAGAAACATTGATGAATTTTATGTATACAACCACCTACCAGACATAAGACAATATAATTATATGTAATTTGAATGTTGTAAAATAAGTAAAAAGAAATTAAAATGCAATCAAAAAAGACTTAAGAATCACTGTCCTTTTTCTTTATTCTTAAAAAAGTCAACATTTTAGATAAATAAGATGGTTGTGATAGTCCGGTATTGCTCACCGGAGTTAATAAGATTGCTAACAACCACACACCAAGAGCATTATCTTGTGACTAATCAAAATCAATTTATCAATCTTGGTAGTTAGTTCTGTTTAATTATATCAAAATCTGATCAACAGATTTAACCAAGATGATATTTTTTATTTCTGTACATACAGCAGTAAGCCTACCCCTATAATTGCCATGTTTACTTAAGTTTAACAATCTTGCTAGATGGTCACTTGAGAATCAATTCTGTTAAATAATGTCAAAATCAAACAAAATCTATTTTTTTTTTAAGAAAAATTGAAGTTTTCCCTATAAACATACATGGAAAAGATCACACACCCAGCGGCTGTGTTTTTAACTTATCAGAATTATTGGAGCTATCTTGGTATATGTTTTTTTTTTGTTTTTTTACAATTTTGACAGAGTATCACTTATGGAACATTTCTATCAAAATGTTGATAATACTGGCCCAGTCACCGAGTTGGAGTTAACAAGAAGTGTGGAGGAATGACTCGACAGTGAGTGATCATAAAAACTCACCTTGATCATTTCCGTGGGCTTAGATGTGCTTAAAATTTAACAGAAGGACCCAAACAGTTATGAAAACATACTTCCTGAATGATATTTTAAAAATATTCAAAGATATTTCATTTAAATAGAAATGATCTCAACATTTGTCATCTTGTGAAGCTAACTCTAAATCAATGCCAAGAAATAATTGAAATCAAAGATTTCAGTCAGCAAAGTTCATTTTAGCTATGTAATTTCAACGTCTGGTCTTGTTATAAGTATTTTGTTAACATTAAATGTAAAGGTTTTTGTTACAATTTGTAAAATCAATTATTTTCTGAAATTTTCCAAACATCACAATAATACCATCATTAAAGTAAACCTGACTATACAACATTTTTCAATAAAGTTTTTTTTAAAAGTTTTTTTTTTTCAGTTAAATAAAGCAACCCTATCTTCCCTAGTTACTAACAAAAAAGCTTTACCCTTACCTGTAACATAATATAATGTATATGAAGAAAAAAGAATTAAGAAAAAATAAAAGCAATATTTGATATCTGGATAAAAAGACAAACTAAGTTATTTTGTAATCAAATTTGTAATATGTTTTGTATTTACTGATTCATAAGAAATAATTATTACTTAATTAAAATATATATTTGAGACCATTTTTTATTTCTTTAGAGTTATTAACAAAGAATTTAGCATTTAACAGTAATAAAATGTTATGAAAAAAAAAGAGTTACATTTTCTTTTTTAAATTCTGAACTGTAATAAAAATCATATTTTGTAGAAACAAAAAATAAACATACGCCTACTAACCGTAAAATTTTATCTAATGGAGAAAGCACTCATGTTGAAGGTTACATAATTATATTACCACTCCTTAATACCTAGATATAAAAACGAGAAAAAATATTTTATTTTGAACATACTTTTACAGAAATTCAAAAGAATATAGAACAATGTACATGTTAAATAGTTTGCTCATAAGAGAGTACCGGTATCTTAGATTTTAAGCTTCAGATAATTTTCAAGTCAGATAATTACATATAAAGGGCAAGTGATTCTTGTGTAAATTAAACTATTGATGTACTAACCCAGAAATATAAGCATAACTATGTATTCTTGCCAAAATTTGAAGAACTAGAACACTGAAATGTCTTAATGTGTATGTTATAAACACAACACTTCAGAAAACTTGAATAAACACACCACACAATGTGTAGGGCTGAAAATATATTTCATACAAATGTGAGAAGCTGTTGAGATAATTAAAGCACTATATACTCAAGAAATATAAGGTCAATGCTATCACAAAGGTACATCAAACATCTGTGTTATGATGTGACAGTGTAAATAATTGATACCACATGTATGTCAAACCAATTATAAAGGTATGAGAACCAAGCAAAACCCTTAAAGGTGAAGTCAGTTATATCCTGATAAAATCAAAGCTTATAAAACTTGAAAAACTGTTTTAAGTCCAGATTCATTTTAATCAGCTAGGCTGCCGTTGATTTATTCTGTCAGGACTCATTCACGACAGGAGGGTGAGTGAAGATTTTCAGGTTGTCCTCGACAACAGCCATCAGACGTTTATTGAGCAGCCGTTCTAGATGTGGCGATATGTCCGAGTGTGTCTGAATTGGGGCAACAATAGACTCTAGAGGCAGTGTAGCCATGATTCCAGCAAAGTCATGTACAAATTCACCCCTGTAATAACAAAATATTGAAATCTACAGAAACAAACTATAACATTATATCCAGTGTAATAAATAAGGATTTGAATCGACTAGGCTGGTCGGACTACCAGATTGGAATAGACATTTCACTAGCACCGATTCATTTGTTCAAAACAGTTGTTTCTATTGCCTCTGAAAAAACAGTAGCCTGTTCGGGCTTGTTACTGAGAAAAGTTGGTAGCCCGAAGAGAAATTTAGTAGTCAGGGGCTATTGGACTACTGCTACTTTCGAACACTGCATTATATCTGTTTAAAATTCAAATTTCTTTTATTTTTAGCGATAAATCATACAAATTGCTGAGACAGTCTTGATGAAAACACTCTTTATTTGCATAACAATGTAGGACAATAATTCAAGTCTTCTATTTACTTGATGTGTAAAGTTGGCATAATCTCAATTGTTCCTAAATAGCACATCATCATTTAAAGGCATGCTGCTTTAAATTGAATGCAGTTGTTACTGTAGTTACTTTATCTGATTGTATCAACCTACAATGATGACTTTAGACCATATATTTATAAATGATATAATTATATAGTTACTACAACTGAGAATTCAAAGTCCCTTGTAGAAAATGAATCTACCAAGTTGAGAGGCAATAGTCAAAACCAGCTACCTTAATCACTGGGCCTTGTTTATTACAGCTTTAATACAAAATTAAATATATCCGTAATTCTGCTTTCATCAATATACAATCTTACTATAATATCAATTAATACTGACCATTCATTCTGTAAGTTACTATCAAGATCAACAGGTGAAGTTGTACTGTATATATGTTCACCTTGATGTAATAAAACACACAACATAGAACTGCCAAACTGAAAAATCAAAAACAAAACATTAATATAGCAATTATTAATATTAAACAAGATATGTTTGTAAAACATGTATGCCCCCTATCAGCAGCCAATTAGTCATGTGATAAGGTTATTATGCATGACTTCTGACCCAGTGATCAAACAATTAATAAGGGTTATCAAGTATCTACTGGTCATGACCTTAACCTTTGACCCCTTGACCCAAAACTCAATAGGGGTCATCTGCTGGTCACGACCAATCATCATACAAAGTTTGAAGTTCCTAGGCCTAAGCCTTTTTAGTTAATTGATCAGAAACCGTTTTTACCTACAAGGTCAATGTGACCTTGACCTTTGACCACTTGACCCCAAAATCAATAGGTCATCTGCTGGTCATGACCAATCACTATACCAAGTTTGAAGTTCCTAGGCCTAAGGGTTCTTAAGTTATTGATCGGAAACCGTTTTAACATACATGGTCAATGTGACCTTGACCTTTGACCCTAAAATCAATAGGGGTCATCTGCTGCTCATGACCAATCACCATACCAAGTTTGAAGTTCCTAGGCCTAAGCGTTCTTTAATTATTGATCAGAAACCGTTTTTACTTACAATGTCAATGTGACCTTGACCTTTGACCCCTTGATCCCAAAATCAATAGGGGTAATCTGCTGGTCATGACAAATCACCATGCCAAGTTTGAAGTTCCTAGGCCTAAGCGTTCTTAAGTTATTGATCAGAAACTGTTTTTACTTACAAGGTCAATGTGACCTTGACCTTTGACCCCTTGACCCAAAACTCAATAGGGGTCATCTGCTGGTCACGAACAATCATCATACAAAGTTTGAAGTTCCTAGGCCTAAGCGTTTTTAGTTAATTGATCGGAAACCGTTTTTACCTACAAGGTCAATGTGACCTTGACCTTTGACCCCTTGACCCCAAAATCAAAACGTCATCTGCTGGTCATGACCAATCACCATACCAAGTTTGAAGTTCCTAGGCCTAAGGGTTCTTAAGTTATTGATTGGAAAGCATTTTTACCTACAAGGTCAATGTGACCTTGCCCTTTGACCCCTTAACCCCAATATCAATAGGGGTCATCTGCTGGTCATGACCAATCACCATACCAAGTTTGAAGTTCCTAGGCCTAAGGGTTCTTTAGTTATTGATCGGAAACCGTTTTTACCTAAGAGGTCAATGTGACCTTGACCTTTGACCCCTTGACCCCAAAATCAATAGGGGTCATCTACTGATCATGACCTATCACCATATCAAGTTTGAAGTCCCTAGGCCTAAGGGTTCTTTTGTTATTGATCGTAACCGTTTTTACCCAAGAGGTCAATGTGACCTTGACCTTTGACCCCTTAACCCCAAAATCAATAGGGGTCATCTGCTGGTCATAACCAATCACCATACCAACTTTGAAGTTCCTAGGCCTAAAAGTTCTTTAGTTATTGATCGGAAACCGTTTTTGCTTACAAGGTCAATGTGACCTTGACCTTTGACCCCTTGACCCCAAAATCAATAGGGGTCATCTACTGATCATGACCAATCACCATACCAAGTTTGAAGTTCCTAGGCCTTAAGGTTCTTTAGTTATTGATCGGAAACCGTTTTTGCTTACAAGATCAATGTGACCTTGACCTTTGACCCCTTGACCCCAAAATCAATAGGGGTCATCTACTGATCATGACCAATCACCATACCAAGTTTGAAGTTCCTAGGCCTAAAGGTTCTTTAGTTATTGATCGGAAACCGTTTATGCTTACAAGGTCAATGTGACCTTGACCTTTGACCCCTTGACCCCAAAATCAATAGGGGTCATCTACTAATCATGACCAATCACCATACCAAGTTTGAAGTTCCTAGGCCTTAAGGTTCTTTAGTTATTGATCGGACCGTTTTTCCTTACAAGGTCAATGTGACCTTGACCTTTGACCCCAAAATCAATAGGGGTCATCTACTGATCATGACCAATCACCATACCAAGTTTGAAGTTCCTAGGCCTTAAGGTTCTTTAGTTATTGATCGGAAACCGTTTTTGCTTACAAGGTCAATGTGACCTTGACCTTTGACCCCTTGACCCCAAAATCAATAGGGGTCATCTACTTGTCATGACCAATCACCATACCAAGTTTGAAGTTCCTAGGCCTAAGGGTTCTTTAGTTATCACTCGGAAACCATTTGGTCTACGGACCGACGGACCGACAAGTGCAAAGCAATATACCCCCTTTTCTTCGAAATGGGGGCATAATAATTATAAAAATCATCTACCTGTCACATGCTTTTAACTGTCAAACACATTTGTTCCTAAATAATAAAGTTGAATGTTATAAAAACAGAAATGAATAAACCAGGAAAAATCCTAAAATTCAATCAAGCATGAACTTCTTTTTACTTAAGATTCTTTATCATTATGAAAACACTATACTTAAGGATTTCAAGTCAAATTTACATAATGCACATAAAATGTATCACAAATAAATCTATGTAAGATAAACACTTGTAAATGAATTGTTTCAGGAGACAAACCTTATTTTGTAATGCCATTGCAATGGGTTTTGTATCACAAATAAATCTATGTAAGATAAACACTTGTAAATGAATTGTTTCAGGAGACAAACCTTATTTTGTAATGCCATTGCAATGGGTTTTGTATCACAAATAAATCTATGTAAGATAAACACTTGTAAATGAATTGTTTCAGGAGACAAACCTTATTTTGTAATGCCATTGCAATGGGTTTTGTAGTGGATGGAGATTCTTCATGTTGGATATCTTCTACAAACATGACAACAGTTGCTAGGTTACAGGACTCTATCACCTTGGCACATGGAAGGAACAGTTCCTCTAATCTCTACAATATACATATATATGATAAAACCTAATCAACATTAGAGAATATGACTGGTCCTGCCCTAACTGAAAATATAAATAATCTATATTAATTCTTGACATCACCAGTATAACTTGCAATACTGATAATGCCCTTTAAATACTACTACCAGAGGTTCAATGGACCTTTTTAGTGCTTGCAAATCAGGTGAAGCCAAAGCCCAGATATGTTTTGATATAAATGAAATTACAAGGGTCATCATTGCAGTTGACTAACTCCAATCTACTTTAATGCATTTAGTCATGCTTATCAAAAACCAAGCAATCATGATGCATATTTGCATGCTTTTCTGTTCACAAATTTCCATATTTAAAATTGATGTAAGTCATACTATATGTTAAATATGTGGCTAATCATGTCAGAAATAACTAATATCACCAGTTTAGAACTGTTTAACATTTAATATAAGTGTAATATTTTTGTTTTTATCAAAAAATATAGCACGCACCTCATCAGCCTGGTCATTCTTCATGAGTTGTTGTAAATTCTTACATACCAGAGATACAATACCCACTGACTGTACCTACAATAACATAATAACATGAAGCATTACTACCTGTAAAACAAAGCATTTTACGTTTTTGTTTTTCCTCTCTTGTCTGATGACAATTTCAAGTCATTTTGAACAAGGGATGTTACCCTAATTTAACGGTAAATTAGTAAATTACCCACAATGCCATTATCATCACATTCACTTTATTTCAGATTATTATTTTTTTTTTTTACTAAACATTATTATGTATCATATATCAATGTATGGCAGTCTCAATAAGTTCCCGACATCTTTACCTAAATATAGAAGTATAAACTACCTTATCAAGATATGGCAAGGCTCGTCTAGTGAGGCTACGACCCTTTCTTACATTCATATATTGCATGAAGGCAGCAGAGTTACCATCACAGAGTAAATAATGAAACAACAAATCCACTCTAATAGATCTTTCTTCCAGAAGTGGTTTCCTGAAAATACATTACACAAACAATAGTCATATTTTATCTAAACAATTCATTTCAAATACAGTCCAACCCCGTTTATTCGAAGTGCCTGGGACTGAATATTTACTTCGAATAATCGGTGGATTCGAATTATCCAAATCGTAATATTGTGATAGACGAAAACTACTCCACTTTGACCAATCATAGCAAAACTACCGTTTACAACAAACTTACTTCCTGTAATCAATTGAGAAAAATAAATATTAAAGAAAAGATGCGTAACAATTATTGTATTGACATTGAAGACATAAATACTTGCATTTTATTCTACATTATGTATCGTTTCGTTTCGCAATGGCCGTGTTGGCACTACCGTATTTACAGCTAAACTCTGGTATTTTCGATTAAGATAAAGGCTCTCATGTAGCGTTACAATTAATGTAAAAATTGTTTTGGATGTTTTGACAAATTCACATTTACGGTATGTATGAAAAATATTGCTGTCATCTTCAAGCAATAACAGTAACAAAATCGGACAATGTGCATAGCTTTTCATTTTCGGTAATTAAAGTTGATTAAAGAACACACAAATAGTTATTATCATGATTGTCTAAATACACGCATGACTGTTGATATTTTTCACAAGTCGACCGGTCAGCGCGTGGATCTGCGCCAATTAGTCTGACTTCAAATAAAAATTAGGCTGGCTTCGAATAATAGGTGTGAAATTCTTTCATAATTGTATAATCGGGACAGAAATTTTACTTCGAAAAATAGGAGGTATTCGGATAATGCATTTCAAATAATATGCTGGTATTTATATTGATTTGTATAACGATAAAAACGGGACCGCTGATCTACTTCGGATAATGCCGGGTATTCGAATAAAGGGCTGTCGAATAACCGGGGTCGGACTGTAATGAACTTTTATATAGGCTCTCCTTTTTGGGGAGCATAAAAAGCCATACAAAATGTCAAACCATAAGAATCTTGTTTAATTTTGGCATTTTTAGTAATGTGATAAAGACTCTTATATTTGTTGTCATACAGTATAAAACTTCATTAAATTATTTATGTACACACAGATGAAGTAAACAGAAGTCTATGATTAGCACTGTTCATAAACATGCAAGGTTAAAAACTATGATTTATTTTCAACACAACACACTGTGCGGCCATGTGGTTAGCATGTCGGACTAGTAATTTAAGGATTGCTGACCGCATGGGTTCAAATCCTGTCAGAGGCAAGCCATTGTTTCCTTGAGTAAGAAACTTTACATAAACATACTACTGGTTGGTTCCAGGAACAGATTCGACAGCATTTCAATAAGCTTATAGCTTCCAACACAATCGAACTAAAATAAAATTTGTATAAACTACCATAACACCTGCATTAAAATATTTGACATTACCTCATATCTTCAGGAAGAGCAAGGATCTGTTTCTCTAATGTATCTATATCCAGGAGCAGGTTATATCCCTGAAATATTACATCATTAAAATGTTAAAACATTATATACAGAAGATTTACATATCTTAAAGTTTATTCTATTTTAATCTTACCAATCTGCGATGAAATATTTGGCTATCTTCTACATACATGATATAATTTTTAAAAGAAAAACCAGCATCACCATTAAAAGAGAACACTTTACATCTTATAAAATACACCAGTTGAATTCTCAAGTATCTAATCCAAGGAATTGTAGCTTCAATTCTTACTTTAATATAGATATGTGTATGTTTAAACTTTTTCTTTTATATTATAGATATCTGTAATATATCTGGGAACATAGATATATTGGTAAACATTTTATTTTTACAATGAAGTGAATTACCTTTTCAATATCCATGAACAGTTGTCTTGACTTTCTCAATTCTTTACCAACATTACTGGTGGAATTTTTAACTCCAGCTGCTGTCTCAGAAACACTTTTAGCAAGTAAGTCTATAATCTGACGTGGATTATGGACACTAGATGTTGTTAAACGACCTAAAGACCCTTCAAAATGTGCTGCAATAAAATAATAATGAAATACTTCAATGGTGAAAAACATTAATCAAAATTTAAATGGAAACTTTCATAAATTTGATAATAATTAACATACAGTAATTTAAATATTACAATAAAACATTTCAACCCCTAACCTGCTGTATTTCTCAAACAGACATGCCAGCCTTTTATTTTGGAAATTCCCATAAGCCTTTTGTTTCAGAAATTCCCATAATAAATTTTAGGAATATCAAGATGAAAAGTTGCTCAGCCACCAGTATAGAGCCTGGTCAATTTTCACAATCTAAGTACAGACTGACCTGGTTCTATACTGGTGGCAAAGGCTTACCACATTTGGTAATGGGTTAAACTACATTAAGTATACCTGGTTTATAAACTCTGTTTTCTGCTCTAGCTAGTAAAGGTATTATAAGGTTACGTTCTGAGTCTTCCTTCACATCTTTCTCTAACTCCTTTGCCTTCTTTCTCAAGCACCAAGACTGAATTGAAATACATTGATATTATAATATGCATACCATATCTAACCTGTTCCATTAATTAAATAGAAACTGGTAGGTGAGACAGGAAATCTAATTATTATTTAGAAAATGAAGGTCCTGTCAAAAATTCATTTTCATTATTATTGCTAGTGGAATCCTGTCATGATTTTTATGTTTTTTCTTTAAAATCTGATAGTCAGACTGTACATTGCTATTTGTAATAGGATTAGGAGATGTCTAAAACTAATCAATGTAAAAATTTGATGTAATATAATTAGTGTTATAACATAGTTTTATCCATTAAATGGTCACATCGTATCAGAGAGAAATTTGATCATTTTTAGGTAAATTTCCTAATATCTTCAACAGAAAAGATGCAACTTTACAAAATTCACTAAAACAATAAATTTGATATAGGTAAAAGCTTACAGCATAGTAGTAATCGTCTTCATAAGGGTTGTCTGTTTGTAGTTGTAACAGTTGTATCTTGATGATCCATTCTTTCTCTTTCTGGGTCATTAATCCTGCATAGTTATCCTCGTCTTTACTGCCACGTTTACGCTGACCTGAGTGTTCTTGACGGGACTCGTACTTCTGATTGTAGGGGTAACGGTGATACCTGTGATCAGATACATGTACATTTAAGTTTAGAACATAAGACAGCTTGATGTAGCCTTCTAAAACAGTTGCCTCATTATCCATCACAAGTATAATAGTTTTCTGACACCGGCATTATTGGGCAACTTCATAGCTTTTAAAAAGGTAAAAATACACCAACTTTTAAATAAGTCCATGAATAGAATCAATCATTTTTTTTATCAATCTTATTTCTATGTACAATCTTTTAGCTTATAACTTAATGTTATAGAAGTGAGAGCACAATACTTTACTACACATATATAAAAACAATAAAATTGCTTAGAAATCATATTCAAAACATCTTCAACTTTCAGAACAACTAATGAAGGTTACTGAATACCTGAAATGTTCTTGGACAGAATTCATCCCCATTTAATTATGTTTTGCAGAACTTAGTATGTTAACAACATCTTATGCTGTGATGGTAACAGAAGTTTGAGAAAATATTATAATCTCTCAAATTAACAATATATATTTAGATATGTTTTACAGATGACTTATTATAAGGTAAACAGACCTATGTTCTTTGTTGTTAGCCTGATCATTTCTTTGTCTCTCCTGGTACTGGGCTTTCATATGGGGAGATGACCTGCAAACATATAGTCTTTTTTCTTAGAATTAATCTATACAACATACATACATAAATGATATTTGAGAATATCACTTTTCGTTTTCTATTTGGGTTTTTATTCACACCAACACAGCAAATGTCATGTGTCACTTTTCCAACTTTCCAGCTTTATTCTTGTGGTGAAAGATACTCTTTCTTTTATGTGCATTGTTTCACATTAAGAGAGGACATTCAAGTAAAACCAACAACCTTTCATAAGATAGCTTCAATTTACATTTAATTGACTGGCTGGATTCAAGCCCACAGCATTGAAGGGACAAGTGGTTGAAAGTCGGTAACCATAACCATTTGACTGTCAAGTCTTTACTCAATATCAATTTGAGCATCATCAAGGCAATCATATTATACCATTGTTTAATAAACTGTTATAATAAGTACAACATATTTAAAATCTCTGATAAATGAATGATTACTATACACAAGACTATACTCACTGGTATGCATTGTTGTTGTTTCTATTGTTATTGTAAACTTCATTGAAACTTCCTGGTTGCTGAAACCTGAAACATATCATTGAACTTTATACTATTGTACATACTTGTTAGCTGAATCATTGTTTAAGCTAACAATAATCAGACTGGCAAGATCATAGGTAATCGGCGCGTTGATTGGTCACTACCCCCGCACCCCCTCCCCCCCCCACACCCACTCTACAGCCCTCCAACCTCTCAAAACCATGTAAAATACAGTATTTTTCATTTGAAACATGTTTTAATATTAGGTTTATGCTTTTTATACAAAAACCTTCATTTCCTACAAAAAATAAAAAATTGATACATATATATTTAGTAAAGGTATGCAACTCGCCTCTCAATTTTCAGCACTCATCTTAATATGAACTCCATAACTTCAACATTTTTCACCAATTTTCAATATTTTGGTACCAAATGGTAGGGAATTGATTACTCTTAAAGGAATTAAAGTTGTCATTACAATCATTTCAAGTTATAAGAAGATATGTAATCTCGAAGTCACCGCAAGTGTAACTCGACAGTGATCTGACCGCTGGGTTTTCTTCAAAATTACCCGACTAAACGGCAGTTTATTCGAAATGAATGCATATTTCATTGTATTGCGCATATAAATATGATCAAATTATATTATTATTTGTAATAACTGTTCAATCAAAACAGCTAATAAAACTATATAAACTATAACAAACCTTTTTTCCTATATGTTAAATTCCAAATTATAATGCAAGTAATAGTTCTACAGAGTGCTCTCCCCTTCATTTTTTGTACGGAGTATTTTCATTGGTCTAAGGTTTTCATACGACCAATGAAAATACTCCATACGAATGCTTCCGTTTATACATGTGTACTTTCATTTTGGATTGGAGAATTTTGCATATCGGAAAAAAGGTTTGTTATAGTTTATATAGTTTTATTAGCTGTTTTGATTGAACAGTTATTACAAATAATAATATAATTTGATCATATTTATATGCGCAATACAATGAAATATGCATTCATTTCGAATAAACTGCCGTTTAGTCGGGTAATTTTGAAGAAAACCCAGCGGTCAGATCACTGTCGAGTTACACTTGCGGTGACTTCGAGATTACATATCTTCTTATAACTTGAAATGATTGTAATGACAACTTTAATTCCTTTAAGAGTAATCAATTCCCTACCATTTGGTACCAAAATATTGAAAATTGGTGAAAAAATGTTGAAGTTATGGAGTTCATATTAAGATGAGTGCTGAAAATTGAGCGGCGAGTTGCATACCTTTACTAAATATATATGTATCAATTTTTTATTTTTTGTAGGAAATGAAGGTTATTGAATAAAAAGCATAAACCTAATATTAAAACATGTTTCAAATGAAAAATACTGTATTTTACATGGTTTTGAGAGGTTGGAGGGCTGTAGAGTGGGTGTGGGGGGGAGGGGGGTGCGGGGGTAGTGACCAATCAACGCGCCGATTACCTATGGGCAAGATATGTAAAACATACATCAAAACTTACTATTGTAATATCTTCTCAATTTACTATATAAATATATCATTAATCTTTTGGCATGATTACAATGAATAAAATATACTTTAAACTATTCCTTTTGAGAATCTATATAATTACTTTTGTTAATTTATACATTCCAAAAACATAAATTCTTTAAACACGGATTGAAGACCAATGGCATTGATTTACTTCAACAAAATTTTAATGGGGATACATGTGCCTCAACCAGGCCCCAAACTCAAGAATTCAAGGCACCCTCTCCTTTTCAAGTTATTCATCCAGGCTTAAAGTCGTAAAATATATCAGTTTAATGAAAGGAAACAAAATAGATGATAATCATGAAATGTAAAATGACCTTTGTTGATGAGGACTGCTGTAGGGTCCCTGTGGACTACCATATAATCCCTGCGGACTGTTGGTTGGTGGAGGTCCTCTCATGGCATGAGGTATACCTATAGGCTGTGATAAACCGCGACCTGGTGTTGCTGAAATATATAAAACTTGTTATATACATCTCCTCATTACAGTGTTTATAATAATAAATCTAGTTTGTTTTACATAGAATGAAGATATTCATATTAATAACAACCAAAACATGGTATGTAAATTCAACAAAACAAAGTACCAATCATTTTATATACTTCACAATATGGCATTCGTATCTCTTTTTACATTTGTTATCAAGAACATGTACAATCAAACTCATATTTAAGAAATAATACATCCCCAACAAATTGTGCTTGATTTGTTTCCGTAGTTATTTTCAACTTATTCTTAATGGTTACATCACAGGTCTAAATATAGATCTTCAACACTGATTTTAATGCATATTTATACACACTTTCGGTCCTTCTATGTTCATTTGGGGAAATGCTGGTTGTGTTAGAATTACAGATAAACACCAATAACACATTGTATCAAGAAAACCTTCCTCTACAAGAAATCATTTCCTTTCCTTACATGACAAAGCACATGTAAGAAAATCTATTTTACAATACATCCTCTCAATTAATGACTTTTTTTATTTCTTACGAATGTCCTCCATTATAGGCTTCATTACATGTACCGGTATATTAATTCTGATATACTTATTCTAATTTGTTGACGATCAGGAAATGCATTGAACTATGAAAATAAGAAAAGAACAGTTTCGTAACAAAACACAACATAGGTATATACAATATTACAGTTCACATGTACAGTAAATATAGCAAGTAAAACAAACAGAACTAGGTGATATTCAGGACATTTTAAAACTGTGTAATCTTATAACTTTGATTTAAAATGAGAATAACTCATTTCTGCACAGTTGTTATAAGCAGTTAAGCTTGAGTAACATCTAAGAGTGAAACACTAAACCATAGAACAGTCAAATGTTATTGTTAGGCCACAGTTTGAAATTCTATAAGATGAGTTAGCAATAATGAATGGTATGTTAAAGAAGTTGCCAAACCACTTATAAGGGGAAGTAAATGTCTTTGAAGAGTGGCTGTCCTGGTCTTAGTGTGCAACTGTCAACATACAAATCTTATGATCAGGTTGTGACAGAGATTTAATGCCTCATTCTGTTTTATTTACAGATGTATACCTAATTACACAATAAATATCATAGAATATATTATCTCATTAATTAACCATTTCACTCCAACCTATTTTTATTGAAAAGTAGCGTATTCTCAGTGCCTGACAATAAAACAAGAGCCTGGATAACGTAGAATTTTCTCAGTTCAAAAAGGGTCATTTTTTGTCAAAATCCGTTTTTTGACAGTGATCTTCTATTATGTTCTCAAATTAATGTGTGAAGTTTCAACCCATTCCCTTCAGTAGTTTTCAAGATATCAACTTGCACGCAAAAACTAAAATGTGACACCAACGCCTTGATGAGTACAATAGCTCTCCTTATTATCCCAATAGCCTTGCTAAAAATGGTTATCACATATTTAAATAAATATTGAGAGCATATAAAATTACACAGTCGTAAAATATTTCTTCAAATCTGAATTTAAAACAATGTCCTGATATCTCCAAGAATAATAAATGATTGTTAGATAAACTGAAACAATAGAACAATGTCAACATATTAATAAAGTTAACATTTATCTTGTGATTTCCATTCTTTAAAGATGTTGAGTATTCGTGCTATACGACAACATGAAGAATTCTGACCACCTGAAACAATGGTTACAGTTAAACAAGAGATTAGTTTCAACTTCTGCATTTTACTGCTCACTTCTGAACCTTGTAAAATTGAATTAGTTCTAATTCAGCTGATAGAATCAATATAAAGGACCTGCCTTATAAAGTGGTGCCCATTTCTTTGGATTATGAAAATTGAATTTCATTTTCAAAATTATAAAGATAACTTATTATTAACTATAACAATATATAGAAATCCCACCCTTTCAAGTTTCTTGACCTGACATATGAGACAAGAAATTATTTCTAGGTACATTGTATTTTTAAGCCCCCCACCCCCCACACACAAACACAAAAATGAAATTATTTGGTAAAGCTATTCTTATTGGTTTCCATTGACAATCACACAATAATTACATAACCTTAAAAGTTACCTACTTTTTTCTATGGATTGGTCAAAATTAGCTATGTTTAAAAACTCTTGAAATTCTATGTACAACTTCCTATGCTACAATCCAAATGGACTTTCTGTAAATATCAATAAAGGGGACAGAAAGAGAGATCCTGGTTATTGAAATGAATGTAATTTTATCTTAATAGTTTACTTTTATCAGCATTATTTTTAAGTAAGTTGGTAAAAAAGTTACAAGTGGACAACAATGAAAAAAGTTGTTAGAATTTAGTAAAAGTCAGATATGGATGTTAAACTGCATCATATTATAAGAATTAAGCAGCAAAGACTGTGCAGATGACTAAACATTTAAACAACATTAATAAATGAACAACTGAAATAAGCATCTGCAAAACACATGCACTACCTATATATCTAGGCTGACTCGGGCTGGCGTATGGAGTCATAAATCTAAACGGCACGCCTATCATCTGGGGTGTACGAGGGATCGGACTCACACACAGGGGTGGTGGTGTTGGAGAACGTGGTACAGGTGACCTCCGTGTTAACATTAACACTTGGGTACACAACAAAACAAAATTAATGCTAATTAAATAACTATCTACACACATTTAAAACACATACTTAGTGTTAGATATCTATAACATGTAAAATTTATTACAATACTGATCTGTCTCAAAAAGTATGGTATCTATATGTACATATTTGATTAACAAAAAGACTGGAAAGTGTTGTGAAAAACGCAATGTGTTTATTTTGATCCACCAGCTTGGCACTAAACTACTGTTATTGCTAGGTTTTAGCACCAGCAGGTTTATGTTGACATGATTTTCACTTATTTCATGAATTTTATGTGCAGTGCATCGGATATAAAAGGAATTGTTATCTTGTTTTTGTATCAGTTTACTTTTAATTGAGATAAGTAATCAAAGTTATTATGTTAAAAATTAAAATAAATAAAATTTTAAAGAATGAATAAGAGTTGTATTATTCTAGAGTAGGAAAGATTGCAACAGAAAGAGAAACCTTATAAATTTCAAGAGGCTTCAAAGCCCAGTGGTTAAGGTTGCTGACTTTAAATTCTTTCATGCTAAGAAGCTTTCTTTCTTTTTTGTTAAGGTCATTAACTTCAACAATAATTACATTGAAATTTGAATGCTATAAATTGGCCTTGAAGTTCAGAAAATTTTGTTTCATTGATTTTAATTACAAAATTAATTGAGATGGCCTTTAAAGGAATTAAACTTTCATAGAATATCTTGTAATACAATCCATTTTTTAATTGTCACATTGATAAGGATTGAGTCTTTTTTTTTTTTCTATTTTTAACCAAATGCTTTTGTAAACTTGGCAATGGAGGTAACAACCAATATTCTACAGTAACTTATAATATTAAAATTATTTTTCACCCAAAATTAATTTCACAATTTATTTATCAGCATCTTACTGAAATCTTTCTTCAATTAAAATTTTGCATGACCTATTTGATCATCACTTTTCAACCCTTATTCTTTTACTCAGTTATTTTAGATAGAAGGTAATAATAACTTCAAACTAGAATGGAGAGTTGAACTTTGTAAGTTTTTGTTACCAATATCTGTGTTGTTGATACCATTTAGTTTCCTATATATCAGTACCAAATCACATTATTCTCTTGTACTGATATCCACTATATACATTATATCACATTCACATGTATCACTAAAGAACTCACTCAAAAAAAACAAAAACAAAAAACAATAAAAAAAACATACTCCTTACAAAAATACACACCAAACATACATGCCTACAATTTCCTCCCTTTCTTGCAAAATCTGAACAGTGAATTTACAGTTTTTATGCTTTAAAAGCAGAACAAATATAAGAATGGTCTAAATTTACATAAGTTAAGGTTAAGCATTCCATTACATAACACTATATTCAGTCTAATATAAAGATATTGCATTAAAAGGTTTGACACAGGTGTACATGCTAGAATACTACTTGTAGATAAAGTTGGAAGTAACATATACCTGGAGACTGCCTGTTTCTGTATTGATGAGGTGTAGTGTTGACCGGTGTACCTGGTAAGGCTGCTACACGTACTGGCGTCCCAATAGGTCCAGGGGTACCAAATACAGGTGACCTGTGACCGTTTGATACTCCCTTCATACCTGGAGGGGGACCGTGTACCATTGAGGCAGGCTGAAAATATTTCATACAATTATTATTTACTGATTGTGTCTTCCTAAGCTCGAGATTTCAAGTAAGTCTTTACAAAAAATCTAAATCAAATTTAAGGTCTTCTTTAAAGTAAACAGAAACACAATTAAGTGTAAATGCACTTCTTCTTCCATTGATTACAGGAAAGTAAAAATTTGTTGAAAATCCAACTGGGATTACAGTGTAACAAAAGAACAGGTTCTATAAATGTTCAGCATAAGAAATTTTTATCAATAATATTTCAAACCGAAATCAAAAGTTTACTTATATTTGAAGATTACTTACATGTTGCCTGGGAAGAGAAGAGGCCATGTTTGGAGGTGGGATATTAAACTGTGCTGGAGGGATTGGATGACCATTAGGTAATGAAGATGGATGACTTGGTGATTCTCCACGTAACTGTCTCTCTAATTCTTCTGCTGTCAGCACCTTTGGTTTACGCAGCAGAGAATTTTCAATCTCTTCCAATGTTTGAGCCTTAGGTAGCACCATGGGGGCTGATCGTGAGTGAGGACCGTGGATTGAAGCGACTGGAGCATCCTATAGTAAAATTCCATGTTATGATTAGTAATAGAAAGAGCACCGAAACACGAGGCTATCTGATTTGTACGAGGGGGCGTAGCCCCCCGAGTATTAATCAGATTGCCGAGTGTTTTGGTGTTCTTTCTCTTTTGTATCATAGTCAAACATAAAAGCACGTTCCCTGTTGTCACAATATGAAACCCCGGCAAAAATGAACCAATGAACGAACATCTGAATATGACATTTCTGTCGCTTTCACTTTCTCTGCCGTCACAATATGTAAACCCCAGCAAAAATGAGCCAATCAATGGGCATACTCTGGAGTGCGGGTAACTAATACCCGCACTCCAGTTAACGCACTGTGCATGTATATGTATACGATTTAACCCTGACACATTTTCAACAGAAAGGTCTCCAAACTATGATACAAGTTCAACTTATTGCACTCTTCTTATCATCATAATCATCAAATAACCTTCAAATGCTGAATTTAAGTAATTATTATTTGAATAATTTCTTAACATTTAACGCAGTTTTAAAGGTTATATATTATTCATAACAACTATCAAAATGGATGTTTTATTTTGGATTGATAAAGAAAATGGTTTTGATCAAACAAAGAGACTTGCACTGTGCCTAATGGAAATCACTTACAGAGTTAGCTGACTTGGCAAAGTCAAACAATGATTGTATGTTGTTGACATGTTGGGGTGGTTGTTGTATCTCTTGTAAAGGTGAGCCCCAGATGTTCTTACTGGTGGGTGAAACTAAATGCTCCGCATCCAAGAATGATGGTGGTGACGCGGGTCCAAACAGACTGTCCAAGTTTTGTTGTCTCTGTGGAATAAATGCCCACTTTTTAGAATGGGAATAAAACTATTAATATTCAAATGCTGATTTCTTACAAACTTTTTAAATTATCTCTGCTCTTATAAAATGTTAAAATAACAAATGTACAATGTTCCTATCGTATCATCATGTATTGTTTGCTATAAACACATTCATGTTTGATGCATTAAATATACTGAATTTTATTAATAACTTAATTAAGTCAAAATATATAAATGTAAGTTTGCAAAAATTACTAAAATATTTCTCATAAGCCCCCAAAAAGTGTTATTTAACCCAAAACTTCTGATGTCTGAACACATTAATTCTGGAGAAAACTGTAACATTACACAGGAATTCTAAAGAATACTGTAACAAAAGTCATATACTTACTGTGTGAAATTTAATCATCAAGTAACATGTATCTTAAATAATATATAAAACTTCTGAGAAGATTTATAAATGGCATGATAATGTGCCTCTAATATCCCTAAAAGAGATATTTGCAAAGATGTTTAAACCTTCAAAACCATTCATTTAGCTACCCCTACAAAATTTTTTTTTTTTATATTTTAGTATATTTTGTCTTGAATTTACTCATCAAAAAGTAAATAGCTAAAAATCAATTCCAGACTTTTGACATATTTATCCATTTCAGTCTATCAATAACATAAATTTACTAGTCATATTCCTTGACAAAACTGACTATACGATATAGATAGGAGAGTTATATACCTTTGGTATAGGTTTAGACTTGAGTATAGCAGGATCAGAGTCATCATCATCCACCATCAACTGGTTAATACTGTGCTCCATATACTCCTACAAATATTCATAATTAAAACAATCAGTTATCATAACATATGCAATACAAAGACAATAACAATAGCTGGTTGATTTAACCTAGGTTTAATTGTTCGAGCTCCTGGATTTGCTTTTAACGTAAAATGCTTTTCACTTAGCCAAGACTTTGCATAGAATTATTTACCGATTTGACCTTGCAAGTACAGAAATATTATAATTGTTAATCTGACCTCCTGTGTCCTGTAGGATTTTTCTGCAGTATTGAAGCCTGAGTCATTATGCTGGTGGCTGGCATGCTCCGGGTCGTATACTTCAGCAAATTTCTCAGTCTGTTCTTCCCAATCAAAATCATCTAAAATGTCAGACAAACAATTAGTTGTATTCCATGAGAAACTTCATCTTGCTCTAAAAGCCTTTTAAATGTAAGCATTGAAAACCTTTGATTTCATAACAGATATTCTTGGCTCTTCATTCTAAAAGCATTGAAAATAAACTTTACAATGGGACAATGTTTTAGACTTTGTATATAAACCTACAACAGAAAGGGTATCAAATACCCCATAATACATATTTCATTTTAAACTTCAGTTTAGGTAATAAACAATACAATGAGGTATTTGTGCAGCAAAATAAAAAGATATTCCAAAATCTCAATCATATCAATTGCTAAATGCTTCCTGAAATCAAATTATAACTTTTAAAATTTTACAAAATGACTAAAACTAGTGAACACAAACCATCATCAAGATTTCCGAATGTCTCATCATTGAGAACATCAAACTCGCCCTCTTCCTCTGGAGCCTCTAATAACTCATTATCATAACTTTTCACATCGCTCTTCCCCAGAGTCTGAAAATAGTTGCATTTTATATCATTATTGCTATTATATCATTACAGGTATTCAAATATAAAAAATTCAGTCTTAAAAATTTTTGGGATCATTCGAGTATTTAACACATCAAAGTGATCTGTATGTTTTAATATTTATGAAAATATGCTATTTAAGGAAGCTTTTTTTTTTAAATGGCAGCAGCTAGCCAAATGGGCCAATCTTTCTAGTTGTGAGTCATGTACACACACACTGTAGAGGCTAGCTGTATGGCACTTTTTATATAGTAATTAACAATTGAACAATATCAAATATCATGAATATTTTACCAATAAGCTATTTTCAGCCTTTGATGATTGGTATTTTTTTAAAATGAAAATAAAAATAAGTTAAATTTAAACTTTATTAAAATCGTTGGAATCTTTATGGACTGGATAGTTGTAATGCATTTGTAATCAATCAAGAACAAGGAATTTTCATCTTCAACAAGTTTAAAGTAAATATAGCAGGCACTGAAAATAAAATCTGTTTTTGCAAATTGTTGAATGTTGCCGTTTGTATAAGGCCACATCAAGCTGATGTTGTCATATGTTATCAAATAGTGTTTACATTTTTATCTTTTACTGACAATAATCTAAATCTTAATCTTTTCACATTTTTGTCCATTCTTTTGATTCTTGTAACATTTAACACACAATAACAAGGCAGCATGCATATTGGTAAATTTTCTTGAGTCAAATATGTCAGAAAATACAAAGAAAGACTTAGTGTAGGCCTAACATAAAAAGAAATCATGTTATAAGTATTTAATTTACTTTTAAAAATCAGAACAATGTACTAAGAAAATCTCACAAAAATGTGAACTTGTAGTATTATGTTATCGCTGATAAAGATTTCATGTGTATGTCATCATAGCTTTCTCTTGGATATGTTAAATAAAGCTCCATGTCTTTTTAAATATTAGCAAGTTTTATCTTAAAGTAATGAGACAAGGTTGAAATAATAGAAGTCTGTGAAGAAGACCCAGGCTTTGGCTTGCCCGGCTTTAGACTACATACATGTGTATATTTAAAAGAAAATCAAATAAAAAAACAAAGAATACATTGAATTCTAAACCTATCAATGAAATTTTCAGTGTCAGTTCTAGTAGGGCAGCGCCATTTTCAATGTAATTCAATGATAATAGTCAGGTTATTCTGATAATGGACAAATTGCAACTTTTCGGATATATAATAATCGTAATGAAAATAATTACGAGTGAAAACGGAAGCTGTGCATAAAATACCAAATGACACATTAAAAAACGGAAAAATTAACCTTTTATTAACCAACTTCCCCGTTCATAGGCTTTGCCTAATTTCATATTATGCCTATATGGACTTAATCCATAAGTCGGGGCTTAATCCATAAGTCAGCAAGTGTTTGTGTCAGACAAACTGCACTTCATATTATTTGTTTACATCTTAATTGGTTGATACTAGGTTGCACGTTATTTGGTATATCTTTAATACATAAAGAAATATCAATATGATCTTAACTTAGCAAAATTTACATGCATGCTACAAAATATTTTTGATGGGTGGGGTAAAATATAAAGAAAATGTAACTAAAGTTTAATTTATTTTGCTAAAAGTTACAGTTCAATGATGCCTACAACCTTTGCAAAACTTGAAAACAAACTTAAAAAGGTTACAAACGAAACCAGTTAAATTCATACAGAGTAATCAGCAAAGCATGCATCTGCCATTTCAGGTCATTTTCTACAAATTTTCTTTTCATTCTTCAAATAATCTCTACGCTTAAAACAGCATATTTAAAAAAATTAGTCAGGCAAAATACTACAAATAGCGGCAATTATTTGTAAATGTTTTTTCAATTAGTTATGTAAATGATAAATAAAAAAATAAAGATGTATGAAAAAATCAGAAATATAGTTTAGGTTTAAAGGTTATATTTGACCTACTTATCAAAGCGGGCGCGACCGGAAATTGCCGATATTTAGTCGGAAAATAAAGAAAAATTGAGTTATATGCTTAATTGTGAATAATGTTGAGTTTAAATTACCACTGATTGCATCTTTTTCATAATGACTGAATAGTAGTTTTTACTAATTAACCCTTTGTCAATTATATTTACACGAATTTTCATGCAAGATGTCGGAAGTCGACATCGCCGAGGAACTTCCGAACGGCGACGATTCTGCATTCGAGGACCAGCAAACCACTTCGGAAGATCAGTCACAACAAACTTTGACAGTGCAATCTGCTGATGAAATTCCTTCATCAATAGCTATCACCACAGAAAATGAATCGGTTTATGTTGCAACACCACAAACATTGTTAACTGCAGAACAGTTTGCTGAACATAATAAAACGACTCACATTGTTATTCATGATCAAGGGAACTTGGACTCTGGTCTGAAGTCACCAACAACTCCGCTACCACCCCCTACCCCAGCAACACCACTTAGCAAAGAAAGGGGTTTAAAGTATCAGTGGGATGAATCAGTTGACAATGATATCTTACCTGTCCGATGCAAGAATACAAATGGAGAACTTTATAAACATAGATTTGGTTCAGGTAAAAAGCATTTGGTCAGTCAATATTGTAACCAAAGCATCTTCTGTGGAAATGGTTGGGGTTTGACTTAATTTGAGGTTGTCCACAGGAGGTGGCTGTAAGCTAAATTGGCTGTCGGGCTTCCACAAATCATAATAAATTTGAAATCTATGATAAAACCAAAATGACCGTCTTATATTTAAAAGGGCGTCTCATATTTAAAAGGGGGACCATCTCAGAATAAAAAAATTATAGCTCTGAAGTTATTAATATTCAAACCTCTTTAACTTTGTCCATCATAGAACAAATGCAACATGCAGCAAAATCAAAACCATCACCAGCCTATGCAGAGAGATAGAAGTTAAATTTATAAGTAGCTCATTTGCCCAGTGAGGGTACAATGTTCACCTTTGACTGATTCATAAACTTTATAACAGAATAGTTGATTAATTAATGTATCTTTTCGTATCTTTCGATAATTCCATGTACACCCATTAATATATGTTGTTTTTTCTTTATAGAAGTGCATTCTAAAGAATTAAAAAAGGCCATTTTAACACTATTAATCAATCAAAACTTAAAAGCTATACATAGCTTATGTTTATAACTTATACTGTAATATTTTCTTACGATAGATAAATATTGACTTGACTTTATAAATCTGCAAAACACATTTTATAATACATTTTAAAACAGGTTTTTTTTTGGCTTATTTTATAGCCGTTATTGGATCATATTCCCAATTGAAAATAGTCAGGGCTTTTTTTCACAGGTTGGGGAAGCAGCCCAGCCCTTAATTTTGGGGGAAAGTTACACAGTATATTTGCAAAAGGGGAAGAAAAAACTTGATGTAAATTCAATTTTTGGGGAAAACTTCATGATTTTAAAGAAATTTTCTTTGGGGAAGCAGCCCTATACCGGCCCCTGTTATAGAAGGTAAAAAGGCCCTGATAGTAAATATTTTCCCAATCCACAGGAAAAAATTCCCAATTGAAAATTACATAATAAAAATATTGAATCTTTTCAAATAAGGGCTTCTTCACTGTAATAGTGCTTAAATGTTTGAAAATGCCATCATAGGCAGTAATTGTTTGCATCCATTTAATCAATACAAAATTTCAGTCATGCCTTTTTCCCAATTTTTAACAAAACACTGCTAAAATTCCTAATTCCATGGGTATGGGTTGTGTTCCCAAAATCCTTGAAAAAAATCCCTTATTTAATTTTGTTTAAATTTATAACAAAAGGTTAATTTGTAAATTTTATGTTGTATTATCATTATTAACCTAAATTCCAAGCAGACACATTAATGCTCTTTTTCAACAGTTAATTCTATAACACTTGGTGTTGACCTGAATATTGTCTTTTTTGTAGATTTACCCTAATGTTGTTCATTTCAGTTGGAGGGAAAGACTATCTAGTTAAAAAAAGATGTCTAAATTTTTGTCCTCATGTTTTTATGTATATTATCAGGTGGTAGAGGAAAGTGCATCAAAAGTGGTGATGCATGGTACACACCAAATGAATTTGAGACGTATTCTGGGCGAGCTAGTAGTAAAGACTGGAAGAGAAGTATAAGATATGGTGGTAGAACATTACAGTGCTTGTTAGAAGATGGTTTATTACAGGCCCACGCCACATCATGTACGTGTGCAGCATGCTGTGATGATGAGAATGTGGTCAGTGTAATGATAATTACATATTCGTTTTGTAAAGACTTTAAAATAAATTTTAGTATATGTCAATATATACTCATTACATACAATACATTTTTTTCAATCAATTAACACATAATTCAAGGCATTTGCAAAATGTTTTAACCTTTTTTGTGTCCTTGTCAGATATTATAGATGTTAGTCAGTTCAAGATACAGTATTGGTTATTTGGTTAATCTAAAAAAAGGATTTTTGAGTTCCCTTAAAACATTGGAGAAAGGTTACATTTACAGGAAATAAAGTATTCTGTCTCGATTCCTGTGCCATTCGTAAAATTAATATAATACTTGTTACTTGATACTTTCTACTTTTTAGATTACAAGGTCATTTGTTACCTTTGTTTTAGGCAAGTCAAATTATAATGGGTTATAAATTTTTTTCTTTTTACAGACTGGGCCAATTCGTTTGTTCACTCCATATAAGAGAAGAAAGCCTAACCTTGAGCCAGGAACTCCTACTCCAAGAACTAAAAAAATGAAACATCTTGACTCACCTAATCGTTTACAAGGAGGTAGTTTTATACTTTCGATTTTTGGCCGGGTTGCACTGGTGCACGGGTTATAGTATGGTGAGTGTTGGGCGGCGGGCGGTAAGGGGGAAAACTTTCGTAACAGTTTTCTCAGCAACTACTTATCACAGCCTTTTGATATTTAGTATACAGCATCAACACATGGTCCCATACTGTGGGATTCGATTTCAGGTCTGTCGCTCATATACTTCCTGTTTGCCGACTTAGTAAAATTTTCTACATTAATGGTCAATAGTAGGAAATTTTTGTAACAGTTTTCTCAGCAACTACTAGTCATAGCCTTTTGATATTTGGTGTACAGCATCAACACATGGTCCCATACTGTGGGATTCGATTTCAGGTCTGTCACTCATCTACTTCCTGTTTGCTGACTTAGTTAAATTTTCAACATTATTAAATGGTCAATAGTAGGAAATTTTGTAACAGTTTTCTCAGCAACTACTTATCACAGCCTTTTGATATTTGGTATACAGCATCAACACATGGTCCCATACTGTGGGATTTGATTTCAGGTCTTTCGCTCATCTACTTCCTGTTTGCCGACTTAGTTAAATTTTCAACATTAATGGTCAATAGTAAGAAATTTTCGTAACAGTTTTCTTGGCAACTATATATCACAGCCTTTTGATATTTGGTATACAGCATAAACTTCTTATCATAGCCTTTTGATATTTGGTGTACAGCATCAACACATGGTCCCATACTGTGGGATTCGATTTCAGGTCTGTTGCTCATCCACTTCCTGTTTGCCGACTTAGTTAAATTTTCAACTTTAATGGTTGGAAATTTTCGTAACAGTTTACGCAGCAACTTCTTATCACAGCCTTTTGATATTTTGTATACAGCATTATCACATGGTCCCAGACTGTGCGATTTGATTTCAGGTCTGTCGCTCATCCACTTCCTGTTTGCCGACTTAGTTAAATTTTGACATAATTAATGATCAATAGATAGTAGGAAATTTTCATAACAGTTTTCTCAACAACTTCTTACCACAGCCTCTTGATATGTGGTTCACAGCATTGACATGACTGTGGTCCCATATTGTGGGATTCCATTTCAGGTCTGATGCTTATTCTTTTCAGGTTTACCAACTAAGTTAAATTTTCAACATCAATGGTCAGACAGTGCTAGAAAATTTAAGTAACATCACAGCCTCATGATATTTTGTACACATATGCAACCCGGCCTTTTCTGTCTTTGACCCATTTTTTAAATGTACATTAAAATATAATGTAACATTGAACAATAGTAAGGTGTATTTGTTTGTTATGGCATAGAAAAATGGAGCAACAAGCTGTTATGAAAACTTAAAGTGGTACTATGTCTGGTATGCCATGGTTCATCACATGTCAGTTTATTTAATATTTAGTGCAGGTAATAAATAAATGATAAATAATAATTAAAGTTCTTGTGTCTCTGGCAACTGTTGCGATGTATGTGACATTGTGGCTGTAAGATGTGCTATAAATGTATGAGACATTTGTTTAACCATGTTGGTGATTCTGTTGTGGCACTAATATAAACCATTGAAATAATGCAGTTTTACATATTACAGGTGGAGATGGTAATGGTATGGGATCATCTCAGAACTTTGCCCATCCTGTCAGAATGGCAACTGCTTCACTTAATGGTGAAACTGTTCACATCATTACATCAGATCCAATGTCAGGAGGTAAATAATTTGATAGTGGTTATTGTTCCCCATCTTCTCGCAGTGCAGTTTGTAGATACTTACTCATGTTTTATCAAGGTTAAATGTTATAAACAAATAACAGTTATGAGATTATTGCATCATTCTCTTTCTGCATTATTCATCAAAGTAAATGTTATCAAAGTATTTCTAATGTATTCAAAATTATAAATTTCATGAAGAATTCTTCTTATACTTACCATATAATGAATTTCATGGTGCAATGACACACATTCTGAATGGTAGACAGAGAGGAAATATTTTGCCACCCGAGTAAAGAAGTTGCACATAGACTTTAGACCATAAGATGCTGAATGTCTTTTGATGCTAAAAAATGGTTGCCACTGCATATTTGTGTAATGAACTTGACCTGTTTAAAATTTTCTCTTTTTATGTTAAAATAATCACCATAATGTATTCTGATTGTACTAATATTTTAGGTATTCATTATACATGTTTTGTTTTGATACATTATAGAGACAGTGATGGTTGCACCGGTACCTGTGAGTGGACAAGTTAGCCCAGGTGGTAAAAGTATCACCATTAACATGGACATGCCAGAACAGAAACAATGGTGGCAGCTAGAAGAGGTAACAGAATATTCCTAATTAAAAAAAAATATTTTATGTTTAAATATTTGCATTTTTAATTTAAGAAAGCTCACCTTTGGTGTATTCTTTCTCACTATTGATATACTTTATCACTATAATGACTATTAATGTATATTTGATCACGATAAATATATACTTGATCACCATTAATGTATACTTGATCACTTTTAATGTATATTTGATCACTATTAATATATACTTAATGACTTTTAATGTATACTTGATCATTTTTAAGTTTTAATATATATTTTATCACTATTTATATATATTTTATTAATGTTGAATGATCATATCAGTAACAACACTGTACAGTTCTCTTCTTATGGAGACATCTTACCAGAAATGTGTTATGACTGTTAATTTACAAGTTTTGTCATTGTTATATTTATTCAACTTGCTGATATGTTAGTAGGGAAGAAATGAGTATATTTCTCTGTTAGAGAGTTTCAAGTGTTATATGATAATTTATTTGAAGATGGCTAATAGTTTGATCCAGCAAGCTCAACAGTTTAAACTGATGGTAGAACAAGTAAAACAACAATCTGTGGCTTACAAGGAGGCAGCTGTACAACAGGTCAGACAACAGATGGAAAAGGTAACAGTATGAGAGATACACAGAGTATTATATCCTCTGAATTCTGGAGATAGAAATGTCAGAACTTCAATATTTTCGAGACTGAACAAAATCAGAGAGCATAAACTAAATTGTTTGACTAGAAATAGTAGAATAGTTTCTCATCTTGACCCTGTATTTAAATTGCTGAAAGATTATTCATGTATTGTATTTAAAAGATATGTATATAATACAAACTTAGATGTGGAAAGTTCTACAATGTTTATATGATAGATGAAGATAAATCATATCCAATCAGTGAACACATATTGTAGATATATGATACATAATGTTGTTGTTAAGTCAGATGAGTAGGAAAGTAATGTCAATAATGAAAATTATCTATTTAGCCAAGTAATGACAACATTTTACCTCAACCTTCAAAGCATCTCATACACAAGTTCAACTAGCTAGGCAGTAAAGAATTACAAGGCCACACCAGGAAAGTTAATAATAATACCTGGGTACCAGTTACATGCTTGAACGAATACACCAAGGGGTTAACTTGAAGTGAATACTAGATAGTTTTCAGAGTTACCATGTCTTTTTGACTTCAAAACCAAAATAATTTTATATTTTTTTAGATGTTAAATCAAGCAAAGGCTGAGGCAGCCATGCAAATACAGAGAGCAGTAATGGAGGAGAGAAACAAGAAGCATATTGCGGTACAGGAAGCGATTTCACAAACTCGTGCTGAGATGGGAGATAAATCTGACAGTGGTATCACCGTGGTAACATACGAGGGCTGGAGTGGACAAAGTACACAAGGACAGATGCAAGGTATAATGGTTGCTACGGAAACAGAAAGTGATAAACAGTGAAGCAAACGGGAGGAAATATAAATTGCAATGAAATCCATAAAACTTAGTAGTTTTAAGAAATACAGAAAATAGAATTAAGACTCATAAAGAGACAGATTGAGAGCTGCATTTGTTGCTACAAACTATAATACATGTACTGATTTCAGTCTTCATTTCATTATAAATCTGATTTCATTTAATTTGTACAAATTCTGTATATATATATATTGTAAAGTTTTAATTTTTTACTGAGCAAAGCACTTTAAAAATAATATAAACTATCAATATTTTATATTTATTTTTATTCAAATATTTTTGAAAATTTTGCAGTTTGTAAAAGTATATGGACATTTTCCCCTCAGGACATTTACACCCACTCTGAAAATCCATCATTGGACATGCCCCCGTCCCCCAGTGGATGTATAACCTTGAATATTTCACCCCCTTCACCCAACAGAAATATAATGTTTAGATAAAAAGTAGCTCAAACCAATACAAAATTTTCATTCAAAATATTTTGAAGCATAGAGCAGTTTCCAAGATATTTTTGTTTGGATTTTCAGAATCTCTGAAGAGGGGGTAAACTTGCTCTTAACAAAAAATAATAATAATTAGAAAAAAAAAGAACAAGAAACCTATAAAAATGTTTGGAGTTATAAATAAAATTTGTTACTTGAAAATAACAACAAATAATGTATTTTTGAAATAAAATTCAATACCGTGTGCATTATGAATTTGGCACATGCCCAAATTTACATTCAATATGGGTGGTAATTGTCTACCTTTACATGGGGAGCAAATTGCACTGGATGGGGGAAAATGTCTTGATTTGTTTGTTAACCATACATGCTGCACCTTGAATATAGAGGGGAGGAGGACTTTACTATTAAAACTATTGGATTTGAAATTTGAGTAGTTTTCTTTGTGTTTTCCTGTATATGTTATTGGTCACAAAATTATTTGTATTGTGTCTAAAAAACAAGTGTTTCATTTTTAAGCCGGTTTTTAATTAGGTTGTAGATTTTTGTTTTTAAATCTTTAAACAAGTCCTTAGTTAATGTTAATTTCTACAATGTTGCTTGTCCAATATGTTATAATATTGAGGTCAGTAATGAATTGTGAAAATCTTGTTTGTGATGCTTGTTTGTTTTTAATTAAGTTTTTTCCTACATCTTTAATTAATATGTTTCTCACCAGAGATTTTTTCAGTTCCCTTAAATCAGTATCGAATTCAGAGCATAGCATATTTTTGTTAATGTTTGAAGATAGTTTTAACTAGTAAACATTTCATCAAATGTACAAATGAAATGATTTAAGATATCTGCTAGTTGCTATAAGCATTAGACACTTAATGCACACAGAGATAACATACAATATAGAGATAACCTGTACAGTGTGTTAGAAACAGGGTAAAAAAGCTTGTGGGAGGTTATGATTGTACACCAGTGCCAGCTGATGACTGACATAATGCATGGATTGGCATCTTGAGTTTTCGCCACCAGTAAAGCTGGCAAATTGACATATGACCATTTTACTGTGTGGTAACAAATAAACAGTTTAGAACTATAGTGATATTTGGCAAATATAAATTTTGTGAATACTTAAAACATAAATGATTTTTGATATATTGATTTTTCAAGGTCAGGTGTTATTTAGCGGCATGCAATTTCAAGTTCAGGTTAACAAATATCAGGTGTCACTCATTTTGTCAACAATCTATGTTCAGAGTAACTGATTCTAATTAAGAAGATTGAAGTCAGGACAAGTTGGTTTTTTTCTTCTTTCTATTATTATAAATTTTTGTTATTGATAAATGTACAAATTGACTCCCCTGCCATATTCAATTACATTGCACATTCCTTTGGCATGTTTGTTTAGTGTATTAGATTGTCCCAAATGGTATAGTTACAAATTTTGTTTCAAATATTCCCCCATTTCATTTTGTTCATATTTTCATTACACATGTTATTACAACATCGTTCATCAGGTTTCATTCATCACGATGTGAAATAAATCAAGGTCTAGTTGTGAAATATGTTTTGGAAAAAGTTAAAAGCTGATTGTAGGTAAAATTCCCTTACATATTGATAAGTTATAAAATGTACTTGTCTGTAACATAAATGTTGTAAATATTACACTAACCTTCAAGGTTTATTGTATGAAATATGGAATAAATTATCAGTCAACTCTTGTGTTCTTTATCGCTTGTTTTTGTTTTATAAGCTGGACTTTTTCAAGAAAACATTAAAGCTGTTGTAAGTCATTTTGTCGTTGCTGTCGTATGGTTTTTTTTTTCGTCTTCATATATGGCAAATGTTTTCACAAGTTTTTTTAACTGCTTAATTATTTTGATACATCTGGCTATTCATGAATACTTGGACACAACATTTAAGACAAAACCTTCAAGAAAACCAAACTGAAATTGACCTTGACTTATAAATAACATTGAAAGTCAACTTGATGAATGAGTTGTCTTCATACTTTAGGGCACAATCATCTTTAGGGCAAGCAATTCAAGAAGACTCAACTCGAGTGATAAAAGACTTTCACCTTGAATGTGAAATGATTTGGACACCCCAACCCTTGGGGACAAGATCCACGGGAGGGTTGGATGAAATTCGACCTTGACATGATGTTTTGCTAAAATTGGCTGTCACTTTATTTATTTGTGGATTTCATTCATATTTAACAAAACAAAAACACTTCTGACCAATGGAAAATAATAAAATAAGGCCTTGACCTTTAAAAAACACACCGTCTAGTACACAATTAATAATCCAAATATGACCTTGACCTTAAAATTTCATTGACCTTAAAGGTCAAATTATTGAATATTGCTTAAGTTGTGATTACTTTATTTATTAAGGAATTTGATACAGATTTAATTTCAAACTAACAACTTTGTTATAGATGGACAGATTGGATTTAGACTGGGAAAACAATAATATATATATTACACCTGGAAATAAGTAAAGTACACCCTGGAAATTTAAATTTGGTTGTGATTGAAAACATTCATGAGATGACAACATAAATGAGCTAAGAAATAGTAATTTGGTAAGTAGTGATATCAGTGTAGTAATCATAAACCAGTAAATTTATGAGTTTAGTTTATTCTTAACCAAATTAATGAAGCATAAGCAAATGTGTAACCACCACATGCCCGGATGATGGCCTCAACCTATCTCCTCATTCTACCAGTAAGACATCTTATGCAATTTTGATGTAAATTTTGCAATTCTTGGTGCAGAGCATGTTGTTGACTACAGGTGGTATGTACCATTGCTCAAAAATAAAATTTCAGCTGTGGTTATGTCAAAATTGAGGCAAAAAGCCGGTGTATTTGCAGGTGTACATAATTATATAACACTAATGACAACACTGATCTGTTAAATAATTCAAGTATAATCTTGAGCTGTAAATGATCGTAACTGTCAAAATATGAAATTTTAAGTTAATTCTCTGAAAACCCTTTCTGAAGCGTTCTTCTAATGTGAATGCCTTTGGAAATAAGAGAGTGTGATCCCTGCTCAGCAGGGGCTCTTGTTCACTTCGACATTATTTCATGTCATCTTCAATGGTAAAAGCTATTCAAATTCCTGTAATCTCAATAATGAACTTAACATCATGGACTTTACTTAACACCAACATAAGTCATATATATACCTTACCCTTTAAATAAAACAGAGGTCCGGACTCCCTGTTGCATATGTATATTATTAATAAATATATTTCATTATTGATGTCCTTGCAAAATAATTGTTGCCTAGGTTTGTCACATCAGTTAATTTATGGAGAGAAATATTAGAGGCCTTCTTGACTAGGTTTTTCAAGTTTTGGTTTTAAACCAATTTTTACCTCACAGCTGTGGGTTTAAATCCCAACAAGGACTGTAATTAATGAGAAGATTGTATTCCACAAGCCTACTAGAGGTCACTGGCTCTACTTGCAGTGTTCTTTTTTCACTTTTGGGGGAAGGAGGTCGGTGCCCTTTGGAGAGGGAAAATGCCATAGGAGGGGGATTTTTATACGGATCTAAAATATTGACACATCACATGTTAAACTTATTGGGACACCGGGAGTAGCTCCCCTTACCTACATGAGAACAATTTGTAAACAACCTTGCCTAAAAGTAAGTCTTACAGGCATAAAATAAAACATTTTTCTGCTGTTAATTGCAAAAAAAAATGATATTCATTGCAGGCAAATTCGGGCTACTGTATAGGGGGAAATTTCAGCTTTGAGGGGGAAAAAAACATGCTATTTTGAGGGGGAATGGGGCCGAATTTCGCCGAATATTTTGGTGAAAAAAACACTGACTTGGGTGCTAACCCATGCCTGAAATATGCACTGAGGGGCACCTGAGATCTTCCTCCATTATTCCTTCAGCTTTTATTCCCCGTTTTCCATCAGCCATGACCAACCTGAACATTACAAAATTGAAACTGCTGCAGATTCAGTTTTATAAGCCTGTCAATTGACAGCAGTGGTAAATTCTAGCATGGGTTGTCTGTGCCCAAGTGGTTAAGGTTGTTGATTTCAAACCACTTGCCCCATACCACTAAGGGTTTGAATCTGGACCAGGAGTTCAGATTCTTTCATGTGCGGAAGCTATCCAGCTAGCTTCCGGAATGTCAGTGGTTCTCAGGTGCCTGTTTGTGCCTGAAATAATACACAGAAGGGCACCTGTGGTCCCTCCAACAACAAGCAATTATCATAGTATTGCAAGCAATCCATAAGTCCCCTACCAGTTAGAACCCTATAACATTCTGAAATGGTTTAACCAGTAGGGGACTAATAAAGCTGGGAAACTGCCATATGACCTATTCTGTGTTGGTGTAACATAAACCAACATAATGAGTCACACGGCATACCAGATGTTCTTAAAAAGAAAACAATTTTAAATACAAACAAGTTTCTAAACTAGACTAAACTTCTTTTTTAATTTTTTTTTTGAACAATTTACAATATATATCGATGTTACATTTTTTGTAAGTTTTTTTCCAATAATGTTGTTGTCATAAATTTTCACAAACAATGCATCATATTCTAGAATAATGTCTAATTCACAATTGAAATAACCATGCTCTTCTAACTTTTTCCTTCATAGGTATCTCTCCACGACGATTCATTTCATCTCTTTTTCTCTGAAATAGATAAAGTTAATCTGTGATTATAGTGAAGTTCACTGAAACATAGTTTAACTTTAACTTTGTATGAATCATTGAATGGAAAAAAAATGTGTCAACACTATCCTTATAACATTCTCTTATGCCACGATGGCTCTGGACTGCTCACCTGAGATACACTGCTAGAAAAGCTTTCAATTTTTCAATGCAGAAGGAATTAATAAGGTCACACAAGGGTGTGTTTTTTATTCGAAGTGCATAAATATCCCCATTGATAGAATCGGGAGGAGGATATTGTTTTAGGGTTACTGTTTATGCAATTATAAATATATATAAAGCCTTACATCTTTGGTTGTTTTGTTAGTAATATCCAGTTACTGGCGGTGGATATCAATTCAACAAATCTGCTTGTTTATATAATACTAGTATTGAATTTTGTAGCTGTCAGATTGTCTGCTCCATGCCAAATACTTGAACTTTTCACACAAAAAGACTTCTGTGTTTTTTCCATTTATTAATTACCAAGTTACAGTCGAATATCAGTGAAAATTCAATAATTTAACCTTCAAGGTCAAGGTCTTAAGTGAGCCAAGGTCAATTTGAGTTTGATATAAATGAAAGTTTTATCGTAAAGAATGTTGTGTCTTAATATGAAGTCAATCCATTCATTAACAACAAAGTTATAGCCAGTTACAGCAAAAAGAAGAAGAAAATTTCAATAATTTATGAGTGAAGGTCAAGGTCTGTCTAGTTTACTTGAAGACCTATCCTAGGAGACTGTTGTGTTCAAGTTTGAAGAAACAACAATTCAAAAACAACAAAGTTATAGCCATTTATAGCAACAAGGGCTATCAGTGATGACATGTGTTGCCTCATGATAGCCAATTGCATGTTGCAGCTACTGTGTAGCAGGAGACACAAAAATAAACAGGGCAAAACACATTTATTATTAAAGGCCCATAACTTGGCTGGAAATCCTTCAACCCTTGTAATATGTGCAAGTACTTGAGCTACCAATCAATCCTGTAATTTGTAAAGTTTCATTAAAATTGCATTACTATTAAAAAAGTAGTCCAGACAAATTTTAACAAGGGCAACATTGTTGCAAAATATGCCCGTCATAAAAGCTTTTGACAGAGATGTGGGCATTCAGATATGCATATAGAAGATATGCTCTGGAAAATACCTAGATATTTTATCATCTCTAGTAACCTTTACCTTGCAAATATTAACCTAAATTACATGTCACAAGAGTTATCATTTGTGTTACAAATGATGACTATGACTAAATGGTCCCCGTACACAAACTTTGACCTCTCTTTGTGACCTTGACTTTAGCAGCAGGGACCTGGATTATGTGCCCAATGGTGAACATTTGTGCCAAGTTAAATTAAAATCCCCCGATGAATGTAGGTCGGCTCTGAAAAAGCATTTTTCAATGACCTCTTAAGAGTGACCTTAACCTTTAACCTAGAGACCTGGTTTATGCACATGACACTGCTTCTCATAGTGGTGAACATTTCTATGAAGTTTCATTAGAATCCCACCATGCCTGGAGGAGATATAAAAAATATCAAAGCTCTAAGCCTTGTACATTTAGACAAGAAGATTTTTGAGGTTTTTACTAAATGTACATGGTGAAAATCAATGACTCTTGGGCAGAGCCAATTTTGACCCAACGGCTATAATTTGAACAATCTTGGTAGAGGTCTACCAGAAAATGTCTTATGCAAAACATCTATGCTCAAGGCCTCGTGGGTCTTTACAAGAAGATTTTTAGAATTTATTCTTATAATTCCTTTTTGTTGCCCTGGCGATCAATTTCTGCTTGGAATAAAATTCTTTTATAACTTTGGAAACCCTTCACCCAAGGAACAATCCTGACAAGTTTGGTTGAAATTGGACAAGTGGTTTTTAACTAGAAGATTTTTTTAAGTTCACTATATGATCTATATAACAGACAAACATACGCACAAACACACATACAGGTGAAATGCTATATGCCATCACAGATACTGCAGTGGCATAAAACACTGCACTTTCTCTGGCTAGATTCTTATCACAGTATGAAGTTTTAATAAAATTTCTTCTATACTTTTAAAGTATTCTCCGGACACGATTGTGTCGGACAGACAAGGCGCCAATATGCTATCCTTTCAGGAGGAATAAAATATGATTAAAATGCACTATCTCGTTTACTACAAAATAAATCACCAAGAGTTATACAGAACTTAACTTCAAATAGTTTTGTAACATTGTGTAGTTGATTACTACTGCTCATTTTATTATCATGCTTCTCAAACTAAAACTTTTACAATGTATAAAGTCTGTGAAACTTACTACTTGATACGATAAATAAAGGTAAGTTCCAACTATTGGAAATACATATGTCCCCAAAAACCAGGCTGTGTTTCTCTTGTTTACCCTAAAGTACTCTCCGTAAGTAGCCCTAGCTGCTTCCCATCTTTGAAGACCAGGGTCAACCTGAAAATATAACTTGTCAAATAAATATGTGTTACATGATATCAAACTATATACAGATGTATATGAAATGAGAGAATAAATACACACATAGCACCATATTGATATGCCAGTCCAATTATGACACAGCGCCTAGCAGAACAGTCATCAAACCATAGCAACTTCTAATCCACAATCACATAAAATGATGGTTTCAGAACATCTTTATATACAGTCACAAATTGCACTACACATTGAAACTGGCTCAACATTCTCAAAAATAGAGTTCTTTCTCTGTTACAGTCAATGAATTTAAGATATTTTGAATTTACTGACCCAAATTCCAGGAATTTATTCTACTATATATTTAACATAATTTTCTTGAAATTCACACTGTCCCAAACTAATTTTCACTGGCCATGGGCCACCGGGCCAATGCTAGATTCAATGCGGGCTGTTATCATGTCTCACAAATCGACAATGACATTTTTATTGTCTTTTTCACGGATTGGGACCAGAGAACTATATATCTATTTCCTGCAAGATCAAGTAGATCCGTAAGATACAATGAATTTAGACAGATAATGTATGTATAAAGGGAGATAATTACATTCAATTCAGTTGTACTTTCCCCTTCGTGGGATCAGATAAAGATACAAGTGTGCATATAAATTATTATAGATATGGGAGAACAAATACACACATACCACCATATTGATATGCAAGTCCAATTACGACACAGCACTAGCAAAACATTTTTTTAATTTTTGCAACAACATAGATCATAGTTACATAATAAGATATACATATATATAAAATAACAGTTAAAAAAATTAAAATATCATTTCATTTAAATAATAAATGAAGTTAATGACTGAAATCAGATGAGGCATTGGATAAAATTATTAAAGAACAAGAACGTGTTTGTTTAACACAAATGCCCCGGGCTCAGATTCTTGTCGGTAGCAATATTTCAAAAAATGTTTACACATTCGCTCAGTTATGGACAGAAAAATTGCCAAAAAATTGTAAACACAAGTTATATAGCTTGACAAAGTCATGGCATTTTGTAATTGTGAAAAATATAAGTTGCCAAGACATTGCTCTGACTTGTGAAGTTAAAAATTCAACTTCATGCAAGTTATCTTCCTACCAAATATGAAATACATCTGTCATTAAATAAAGGCTGTATGGGCAAAAGTGTAAAAATCTATTTTTAGCACTGGTGACCTTGACCCAACTGACCCCTTACTCCATCCAAAGGAAGAATACCATGCAAGTTATCTTCCTACCAAATATGAAATACATCTGTCAATATATAAAGGCTGTATGGGCAAAAGTGTAAAAATCTATTTTTAGCACAAGTGACCTTGACCCACTGATCCCTACCCCAATCAAAAGGATGAATACCATGCAATTTATCTTCCTACCAAATATAAAATATATCTGTCGCATAATAAAGGCTGTATAAGCAAATGTGTAAAAATCTATTTTTAGCACTGGTGACCTTGACCCAACTGACCACTAACTCCATCAAAGTTTATGTTTCCATCAATTATAAATAACATCTGTCTATAGAATAAGGTCAATACACCTGTAAAAATCTATTTTTAACATTGGTGACCTTGACATTGGTAACATTGACCTTGACCCAAATGACCCCTTACTACACCCAAAGAAGGAGGAACTCCCTTGGCAAGTTTGTATTAAACTAAGACATCAACTAAAAAATAAAGGCTGTATGAGCAAAAATGTTTATATTTATTTTTTAAACCAGTGACCTTGACCTTGACCCTAGAGACCGCTTACACCACAAAAACTTAGAGGACCATCAAAGGTATCCACCTACTAAATATGAAAGATATCATTAAAGAAATTAAGCAATTAGGAGAAATTTGTTATAAATCCAACTCGCCGGAATAGGTTAACAATACAAGGCCATATTTTCAGTGATAAAAGGGAAATAATTGGGAAATATGGATGACACAGCTATATTACTTGGCAACAACTAGTACTTCGTATTGATGAGTAGGTATGGGAATTAGGAAGCTATTAGTACAGATAGAACTTAAAATATTTCCAACTTGCCGTTTTAGGTTAACCATTATTCATTTTCTAAGTGCTGAAAAGGGCAATAACTTGGTAAATATGAAAGCCAGAGTTATGTAACTTGCCCAGCTCATGTACTTTGTATTGATTAGTAAGTGTGTAAACTTAGAAGCCATTGGTACAGGTAGAACTTAAGAAAAATCTAACTTGCCGTTCTAGGTTAACATCGTACGGACAGTTCAATTACTATATGCTTGGGGGCATAAAAATCAGTCATGAAAGCAAAGCCACTACTTATCCACCATCACATAAAATGATGGTTTCAGAACAGCTTTAATTATATACAGTCACAAATTGCACAACACATTGAAACTGGCTCAACATTCGCATATTCATGGATTCTAATTAGTTCAAATGCAACATATCTGAATGATTGATTAAATTAGGCTGTTCATATAATATTTCTTTATGGATTAAGCTTTGTTGCCCATTACTTACAATATGACCAGGCCCAGCATTATTTACAAGAGTGGCTGGATTGTTTTTAATGGCTCTAAAATCTGCTTTTTTCTGTGCAGCCATAGCTTTACGTTGTTGGACACGTTCCAGTTCCTCTTTGGAAACATCGAACATTTTCCATGGATCCCATGATGTAACAGTATTTCCTTTAGAGGGCTTCACCTCTGACATCGTGCAATTGTTAAAATTTCAGTTAATCATGAAAATTTCTTTCTTGAGAACTTCTTTTCTCAAGGACACCGATTTTTGTTCATTTAACCCAAAGAAAATTTAATTACCGCAAAGGGTACTGTAGACAACGAGACATTTCATACCAAGACGTAATAGTCTATCTTCCATTGAGTTAAACCCGTGCTGGGGGACCTAGACTTTGCGCGTCAATAGTAAGACTATAAAAGCAAAATAAAAAGGTTTTTTTTTTAAGATAAAAACATGAGAGGTGTGTCTAGGGAAAGACAATTAATTATTGTTTTTAGATAATGATAGATGCTAGATGTAATATAAAACTGACTGAAAAATTGAAACCAAATTATATTAACATGCTATGTACCTGCTATAGATAAGTTATAACTTTCGAAAATAAAGTGTTTGTGCGTATAATTGTTGGAATAATTGCATTATATATCAAATTAAATTAGAGAAATTATTTGCTGGATATTAACTGTGATTTAATACTTACAATCGGATTTTAAGTGTAAATATTATGAAATGTCCGATATAGGTATGTGATACAGGTAGGTCAGTTTTGAATATATTGATTTAGAAAGGATTTCCCAAAAATTTATATATTGCACCGATAGTTCATTTGTTATTGTTTTCGCTTCATCAAACTCGTCACTGTTAAATAGTTGTTGATGATAATTTAATGTCTGTCTCGTGTATTGTTTTGTGTCTTGCTTCTTAATCTTTCAAATTAAATATCATCTATATATGTTGTAAATAATTGTTTGTTTGTGTATTATATTTTTTCAAATAAAGTTAATGTTCTGTTCTGTTTGTATTGATTACTTTTGGAACCCTACTACTATTATAATCTAGTTTTTATACAAAATGATAAAATATATATATTAATTGATTCATTTATTTATTGAAATGCTATTAATATACCGGTTTAAAATACAGTACTTATTCTGGGGCCGATTTGGTAAAGGGCCGAAACGTCCGGGGCCGAAACGTCTTGGGTAGTTTGGGGCCGATACGTCTTGGGGCCGAAACGTCTCGAAATCGTTCAATCTGACTAAAAGCCTTTCTTGGTGACGAGGTCTACTTGTTACACCCCAAATCGCACTTTTTGACAAATAAAATGAAAATCTGTCTACGGACGAGTACAAAACTTTAACAGATCAAAGTTAGGTACCTGTCAAGCATAACCATGTTTTCAATGTTGCTGTTTTACTTTACTTTTTAATTGGAACATAGGCCTGAATACAACACTTTTTCTCAAGGTCCTGGGACCTTGCCTCTTCTAATCCTACATGAACGACTTTCCTGATAGTGTTAAGAGCAAGGTCAGGCTATTTGCAGACGATACAATAGTATATTTAACAATCAAATCAACTCAAGGCGCCGAAACCCTCTAAAAATATCTCAACAATCTTGAAAACTGGGAGTCTGATTGGTCCATGGAATTTAACCAAGATAAATGTGAAGTCCTTAGTATCAGCACGGATTTATATTACATGTAATATAAATCCGTGGTATCAGCCGCCATCCTGGCATTTTTTGTCGTACATGACATACAACTATTAAATGTACTTTTTGCCGTTGGTGCTGCTTTATTTGCTGTAGATTCCTTTTTTCTCTATCTTGTTGTCACATCAGTGTTATTTGTCTTGAGTGGTGACTGAAAATGTATTCCCGTACATTTAATTAAAGATGTTATATTTTATATATGTATGTTTTTGGTACTTTAAGGTCTTTCCAATTTGGTGTTTTTCTAGCCGGGTGGCTCTGTGTGTGTGTGTGTTTGCGTTTGTTTACCCTCGCCACCGGAAAGAGACCATATGGGCGAGCATATACTTCATTTATAACCTTTTAAAAAGGGGGAGCTGATGTTTAATTACTTATTGTTATATCCGTACATGTGTTTATGTGCATACCATATCCCCCATGACAGGGTAGTCTCTACGTACAACCTCTGCCATGGGAGGAAGATGGGGCAATCCCATACTAAGATTAAGAATTCTAAAATTAAATTATTAAAAAGCACTTATTTTAAAATTGGCCAAGACGTTTATAGAAGTTACCGTCTTTTATAACAGGTCTATCTAATATTTAGTATAACTAAAAAGTTTTAAAATATTACCTATAATTGTAGAGTTCGCATACTTGCGAAGAAGGCATGTCAGGAACGTTTTCTGACCAATTCATTGTGGGCTGACTAAACCCCAGCCGGGTGGTTCCAATGCTCTCTTCACTTAAGGTATTAGGACCCTAATGGGCACTATCAGGAACTAAAGAAATGACATCATATGTCAGATGTATACCTTAAAGTACGCCTGTATGCAAAATTTAAACAAAGTTTACCGTACGGAAATCAAGTTATGGCCACTTTTCTGAACTCAAGCTAGGATGTTATGAGGGTCCTTTTTTAGAAATGAGGAACCTTTAAATAATCTGCAATAACATTCTAATGAAAAATGTTTTCCCATGAATTTTTGGTAAGAAACAAATAGTACCATTCAGCTAACAATCCACATAAGCAAAATTATGGATTCTACTTAAAATTTATGAAATCTGTATAAAAATGTTTACCCTACCCCACCCATTTTTACCACATGTCTGACCATTTTTTCTACTAAGGGAGCCTAATTCAAAAAATTCTTAAAATTTACCCAAATGAGTGCCTGTTTTCAAAGTTTTCCTAAATTTTTTAAAAGTATATTGGTTGATCTTGTAAAAATATGAAATACTTTTACCGTCTAGTTTGATTATATTACACTTTGAAAATATCAGGTACCATATTTATTACTAGATTTAGCATAATTTAGCCAATAAATACCTATATAAATTAAAAATTCAAAATTTAACACTTTTTTCTTTCCATATGGGACATGAGAGATACATAAATAATGTTAAAAGAAAAAAAGAAAGGAAAAAAAAGTTGACCCTTCTGGGGATTGAACCCATGGCCCTCATTTTCAATGTAGTTAACAGTAATTCTAGCCTATTTGAATACTCTTCAACGCGGAGGTAATGCATTAGGGTGCTAATACCTTAAATACTGTACCATCTGGTTTTTATCCGGCGGGGATGTCTGCACTACCCTTTACTCTCCGTTCAAAATTAAATTTTATAGTACGACGGGAACCAGACTAGCGGGGATATAGAAATAGTCTTCGTCTGCCCGTCCTTCCGTACGTCCTTCCGTTCGACATTTTTGTCCGGAGCATATCTCAAAAAGTATTTGAGGAATCAACTTGAAACTTCATATGTGAATAGATCTCATTGAGGAGGAGTGCAGTGCACAAGAATGATATCTCTACCCTGCATAATTTTTCAGTTATTGCCCTTTTTTATTTTTCAAAATTAATTTTTGTCCAGAGCATAATTAAAAAAGCCTTTGAGATATCAACATGAAACTTCATAGGTGGATATATCTCACTCAGGAGGTGTGCAGTGCACAAGAATGATAACTTTCTCATTCATAATTTTTGAGTTATTGCCCTTTGTTAATTTCATACTTATTTTTTTCCTGAGTGGAGCATAGCTCAAAAAATCTTTGAGATGTCAACATGAAACTTCATAGGTGGATAGATCTTATTTAGGAAGAACGCTGTGCGCAAGAATGATAACTCTACCATTTATAGTTTTTGAGTTATTGCCCTTTTTTATTTTTCATACTTTTTGTCCAGAGCTTATCTCAAAAAGTATTACAGGTATCAACTTGAAATTTCATAGGTGGATTGATCTCATTGAGGAGGAGTGCAGCGCACAAGAATGATAACGCTACCACCCATAATTTTTCAATTATTGCCCTTTGTTATTTTTCATGCTTATTTTTTGTCAAGACAGTAACTTATTAAGTATTTACTATATAAGGCATTTACCTGAAACTCAAAATATAACTTAGTCTCTGTCGGTCCGTCTGTATGTCCTTCCGTCCATCAGTCTGTCCGTCCTTTCGTCTGACATTTTTGTCTGGATCATATCTCTAAAAGTATTTGAGGCATCATCTTGAAACTTCATAGGTGGATAGATCATATTAAGGAGGAATGCAGTGCACAAGAATGTTAACCTACCCTGCTTATTTTTTCAGTTATTGCCCTGTGTTATTTTCAGCCATCGGTATTCACATAGGTTTCAAATCTGTAATCACTTCAGCCATCAGTTTTCATTACCAAAAGACCTCTTAAAATTGAATTATTCTGCTCTACTACATATACATTCTTACAATGAGCAAATTCATTCGGAGGGGGTGGCCACGTGGACATTGCTCTTGTTAATTTTGTCTTTTGACATTTTATCTTTGATATGCAGTCTTTATAACGCTGATCCTCTTTCAAAATTTTATCTTATTTATTTTTGTCCATTGTTTTCTCGTCTAGGACACACGCATTTTTTTTATTTGGTGACCATATGCCGATATTCATGGAATGGCACTGAAGGTTCCATGATAACCGCCTAATGAACACATGTGCGAATGTTTCAATATTCAAAATTTCACCAGTTTATGTTAAATTCTGCTTACGCTGGTGTTAGAAGCGTGGACAGTAGCTTTGCAACCTCTACCGTCCATCAAATAGAGAAAAACAGAATCCCTAAAGAAAGCCCAACACGGCAAAATTGTAAAATTTTGCAGGCTCGGTTTAATTGAGCCTGTTCATGGACGGTACTGGAAAGTGCAAGTTACCGTCCACGCCCCCAAGCACCGGCTTAAGCAGAATTCAACATTTAAACACAAAAATGGTCAAATCAAGCGTACAACATGTTCAATTTTGTCATTTTGAGCGTTCTGTGGGGATCCGATTTTTTTCTCTCAATTTTTCTCTCAATTTATTGTGACTTACACGCCGGTGCTAGGGGGCGTGAGGGATGTTGCACTTATACATTATCCCTCATGTACAGACTCAATCAAACCGAGTCTGCAATTCTTATGTTATTTTGTTGTGATTAATGCTTCCGAGGGATCACTTTGTTTCCAGAGTTTTAAACCATTTTAAATATGTGTATATATTGAACAGTTTGCATGAAGTATTGAAAACAAAATGTTACACAAAATAACATTCACAGTGAACTGATAATAATGATGAAGAAAAAACAGATTTATTTTTCTCATATACACTGTAAATGAATTGAATTATTGACCAAACTGCATTAAATCTAGCTAGGTCACAGTGCCCCAATTTCAAAGTTGATACTGGGTCACCAATTAACCTCAATACCAGAAAATCATCTGTCATACTACACACGCGGCCAATTTGCGGTAATGGGAAAGATTATTTTGTCATGCAATCATAAAGGGAAATCATGTGACCTACTACGTACAGTTAATCCCGCAGACATCGGTTGGAGCATATCAAGTAAACGCCAGCTGTTGATAAGCAAAATATCAACTATATTAACTGAATATACTGACCTATTCAAAGGCATTGGACTGCTCCAAGGGACGTGTTCTTTGCATTGAAAGGAAAATTCAGTGGCTGTAGTATGTCCACCGAGATGAGTTTCTGTAGCATTACAGGAGAAACAAAAGTCTACAATCTATAGTTAAAAGGGCATTATTAAAAATAGAACTCTGGTGCAATCTTCAATGTAACACGTTTTGGGCATTCAATAAAAAATGTCCTACTGTACTGTATGGACCGCAAGTAAAAGAATGTGGCTTTAACGCCTAAACAAATAAGCAAAATCAAATAAAGGATTTTTTTAAGTTCACTAACGTTTTGAAGCATGCGTACTACAGACAAGCCGTCAAAAGACAAATTTAGGCGACTCGAGCAGGACCACCCAACTAGAAAATGGTCAAGTAGTAAGAACAGATTTCAGATAACATGTGACATAAAATACAAAATTGTGAACACTTACAACAGGAACACAGAAAAAAAAATATATATAAATATACATAAAACAGGAGAATGAGTGACAATTATATTGTACCCATAAAATAAAAATATGACTTGATTCTCAATGAAAACCGGAATGTATGCTTCAAAAACAAAATTTCTAGGATACTATAATGATACAAAATTATACTTATCATTTGCATGATTTAATGACTTCTTTACAAAAAAAACAAGTTTTTTTTTTAAATGTGACTTGTTTTTACTATTCATAAGATCAAATTTCAATGCATTACAAAAAGTACCTAATGTTGTGAAACTCTGAAATATGACTACAAATAAGGTGGAAACTTGTTCATAAGATATTTTCAACACAAATTTTATAAAAAAAAAACAAACAAGAAAAAACTTATCAAATGTGAAAATATATATGCCCTGCATGTTTAAAATATCACAAATAACATTTGTATGTGTTTATTTGCAAGATATTGGCTCTTGTCGGTTCTTGTCCGTTTCTGACGGTTCTTGTCGGTAATTAGGGAGACCCTTCCTTTTTGTACATTTAAAGTCATTGAGTTAAATAAATGTTCGCGGAAAGAAAACAATGTTACCGATATATTATGTGAGTAATTCTCTTAATTTTACTCTTATCAGGTGATGTCATGACTTAAAGTAGTTTATATTATCATAATAAAATGAAGGTTGATATATTAAAGTGATTTAATCATGTGATTACAGTTGTATTGATCTCCACATTTGTGGTTTTACAGCACAAAGTGAAACAGCCTCCGACTGATTACAAGTACTCGGATAGGGATATAATGTTTTTCCATACTCACACTTTGGCACTAATCGAATCAATAGCTATGATTCGTCATGTATTCATAGAATATACCAATTATGGTTATAACATATCAATTTCATTAAAAATGTATTTGTTAAATGAAAGGCGTGTAATGATGTAAAGCTGCCTAAAATGATTCAGAGTCAACTCGTCCCCTGGTCAACTCGTGCTCTGGTCAACTCGTCACCTTTTTGGTCAACTCGTCCCTTGGACAACTCGTCCTCTGGTCAACTCGTCCTCTATATTTTATTATTATTTGTTATTCGTATATTTCATAAATTATTAGACTGTTAAAATAATATATTATAAAATTACTGAATTGGACATATTTTGACGCTTTTTGTATGAATATTACAAATATTTGGAGTTTTTTTTATTTAATAATAAGTATATATATATATGCATATATTTCTGATTAAATTACATACAGAAAAAAAACAACACAAAGACGATCAATAGCAATAACATTTAATGTATAAAAACATGTTTCATATGCAATGATAAAATATCATATACGAGAAGTATGTCTTTTTTGTCAATATCATGTCATATATATTCACTTTCACTTTCATAGTTTTTTTCATGCACATATTCATTGTCTTTTTTTTGGACATCTTACGACTCTTCGGGCTTATATAAGTTCCCGAATTCTCTTAGAAGTCCTGTTGATGACAACTCCCTATTCCTGTCCCACAGCTGGTGCGTCTGTCCCTGGAGAAAGGTGTATTTTTTCTGTTGGTAGCGGCGAAGTCTTCCTTCACTAACCAATTCCGAGTTCCTTACTTCTACCTGGGCCTCATTGTACAGAAGTTTTACCAAAAGGTAGAATGGAGGCGTTCCCCTAGCCATCCCATTCAGTCTTCTATGTCATCCTATAAAATAATAGAAGTATATTACAATACCAATAAGATAGGCACTGGTCAACTATCATAGATATATTTATCTCTTTAATGCGGTGATGTATGAATCCATGAAGGCATTTCTCAAATTCGCTCACACTGAAGTGCTTGCTGATTCTTCCGCACATGTTTCCTACAATCAATGCAGGGGTACATTGTCACAATTAACGACACAAATAAATTAAAAAAGTCACAATCAACAACACAAAAAATTAAAATTGTCACATACACCGTTCACATGCAGTCTATAATCCAACAATATGGAATTCTAAGTAATGATTAATATGCACTATAAAAATAATCCAATGTTGATATAACGTACAACGCAAATGTGATTTTAAGAATAAATCTTATATTTATCAGGGCAACTTTTAAATTGACAATTTCACAACAAACAATTATCATGTTTTTAATTGACACGATCCTTCTATAATGAGATCAATACGCACCGACATAAAGTTTTTAGCACTTCTAATTTCTGTTAATCTGTTGTCAGTCTTTAATCCATTCAGGGAGGCGGTAAAAATCAAAGAGTTGGACCTAATTTTAGTTTTAATTATCATTAAAACTCCGATTAATTAAACATTAATTGAATGTTTGCAAACTTACCTGTCTTTGTAGTTTGACATCAAAGCTATGCACGTGCGCTTAGATAAAGATCATTAAAATTCAACGTAAAAAAGACGTTATTTTATTAATATTTCGATATCAATTTTACATAAAAGAACTATTTAAAGACATTGATTTACAACATAAAAGTGACAATTAGATCGAAAGTAGGGGACGAGTTGACCATATTAGGGACGAGTTGACTCTTTGAGGACGAGTTGACCAAAAGTAGGTGACAAGTTGACCGAAAAGGTAACGAGTTGACCAGGGGACGAGTTGACTAGGGGACGAGTTGACCGGATTGCCCTAAAATACCCATACAGTAATGTGTGAAATAATAATTTGTTTGTTCCATAATCTTAAGTATTGACATTACATGAACTTTTTGGACTCTTGTATGGTACAATCAATCTTGTTTTATTTTACATTGTCAATAAAATGGGCTTTTTTTGTGTTGACGCCTATATATGGCTGGTAGCCAGGGGTCCCTAAGATATTTCGGAAGTATGATTATGATTGTCTGCAGATTATTATTTCTTTATGCATAACTAAATAATCAGACAGATATGAAGATTTCTTTGAATATATTGTTTGTTACTTAGTTAATCTAACACAATACTAATAAACCTGGGACTAAGAATAATATTTATTGTATGTGCAAGAACAAACTGAGTCTATATGACATGCATATCAGCAGATTTATATGAATGTAATTTAGGATAAAATATCTCAGGAAGGTTTGGATCAATTTGATCGAGTAATACCCTTTAAATATCTCAGAGCATTTATATGAATTGGTATTTAAAGATCCGGTATGTCTTGTAAATAATACACAAAAAAATATCAGAAAGGCTTGATTTGATTGTAAATGTGATAATTTTACGGGAAAAAAATCAGAATTGGTAAATCAGTGTCTTTTCTAGGAGGAGGGAACCGAGATTGGGAGGATTCACTCATACTTTTGAGAATTCCCCCTTTTTTAGAGGCAGGGGAAAATTTTACATAGAGAAAGAAGGAAATAGATCAGCAAATATTATAAATTTTCACTTAAAGAATCTCCCTGTTTTTCGAATCCTAGAATAGACACTGTAAAAACAAATGTAATACAGAAAAGAAAATTATGAAAAATCTTTGACGCTGACTCGATCTTTCTAGGTAAGTCATCAGTTATACATGATCGGTCATGTGACCCATCCTTATATTTATTTTATATATTGGCCATAATAATTATTCTAGTGGCATTTAGATAAATGAAGAGTGCTCAAAATCTTGCAGTTAATAATATGTACTTGGTGTTACAAAATACTCAGAAAAAAGTTCAAGACACAAAAACACTGCAGACATTGAAGTCCAGAATAATTTTTTAGTGTGAAATTGAAGATTTGAGGTTTTTGAAGTATTTATTTAATGTAAGCAATGATCATTATGTTTTGTTTTTCATGTACAGTGCAGTTAAGATTATGTGAAAACAGATACTATGTCAGCTTCACCCAATACACCAAAAGGCTTCTCAGAAGTCCAGAGTAAGTATAAACTAGTTTATTTACTTGTGATAGTTTATTTTGTTTTTAAATACTTAAAACCTGTAAAACTGTAATATATCTGTTAGAATAATGTTCTTTAAATCAACAAAATCAACAAGTGTCAGTCTTTTCTTTTAAAATTGTGTATTTTTTTATCATATACTTTATCTTAGGATATCTCGTCAATGGGGATATTTGGGATAATTTTACTTGTGTTAATTTAAGTCAGATATTTTCACTTATGTTTTACGCTTCTAAAAATGCATGTATTTAAAAATTTTCCACTTCTTTGTTGTATATATTCTATGTTTACTCAAAGTAAAATATATCCATATTGCGAAAATATTTTGTAAGTTAAGTATAAAAGTTTTATTTGTTATAGATGTAACTTTCTCATGGGAGGACTATCTGAAGGAGGTGGGTGGAGAGGCCGCACCAGAAAATTACTTTAAACAGGTTTGATTCTTCCAATTCTAGTATTGTAAACATTCATATAACTTCAGTTACTAGTGAATTCAACCTTAGTCCTGTATTAAGTCAAGAGTCATTTTAAGCAGTGCCATGGTGTATTTTAATTGTTTTAGCTTTTCAAAAATCTAGATTGCTAACAGTAAAATTTTTCACAAAATCCATGTAATGTAACTAATATTAGTGCATTTATCTCTAGTAAACAATCATGTAATGTAACTTATCACAAATATTCACAAAATCCATTCCTAGGTGTATTTTGAGAATAATTAATAATTATTGTAAAAAAAGTAGAGAAATTTTTAGTTTTAAGATCTCAAATTGAACTTCCAGGCCTCTGAGCCCCCCAAAAATGAATTTGAACCTGGCATGAAGATTGAAGCAGCTGACCCCAGGAACTTGACCTCTACTTGTGTTGCCACGGTGATAGCAGCTACAGGATCAAGGTTACGTCTTAGACTTGATGGAAGTGACAACAAGAATGATTTCTGGCGTCTGGTTGACAGCTCAGACTTGCATCCTATTGGCCATAGTGAAAAACAGGGTGGGCTGCTACAACCACCACTAGGTACTTTTTTCAAAACTTATTGCCCTTTAATGTCATTTCATTGATTTTCTAGTTATTTTTGAGCAGCTGTTGGCATGTAACATATGCAGGCATGTGTTTCTGGTTTGATTAACTTACTTATCTATGCTCTACATAACTTCTCGGAGAATAGGCCGGATGTTTTGCAAAGAGCTACATCAAAAAAACATTCTCTTTGTCATTCACTTACAAAACTTACATCATATTTATAAGTCCTGCCTTTCATTTCATGCTATAAGCTTGGGTGTTACTTAGAGGAGCTTCCATCATATTTAATTTCACTTGATTAGGAATATCTGTTAGTCCAGATTTGTTTCACCTATGTCTATTTAAGCTGTATAAGTATTATAATGTAATATTACAATGTTAGTCAATTATTTCCAGTGATATTTGACTGTTAAAATGAGAAAAACACCGGAAGTGTATAGTCAGACTGTATGCTGATATCAAAGGCTGCTAGTGATAATTGACTTACACAACTAATATCAGGTGTAGTTGTAGGAAATAATGCATGGAGTGTACATTCTGTTGGATTGTATTCTTCAAGTTTAATGTGTATAGTTGTATTCTCAAGAACCTTAAGGGCACGACTTGTGAAATTACTTTACTGAAATAAATGAAAGTGATACAATGATACTATAACCATAATAGTTCACCTACATAATTGTCCTTTAAGTATACATGTTTACCTTCAGTGAAATAAGTAAAAACAAACAGAATTATTTTTTCCTTATGAATATGCTGAAAAATATAACATCATTACACATTTGTGAAAATGACTATACTTGCATCAGAACATACAGGTATGCAAATAAATATTTAAATGTTATATATATTTTGATTGTTTTTTCTTTGACATAATGTAATTTTTGTTATTATTCTTTAAGGATTTAGAATGAATCCATCATCCTGGCCGTCCTTTATGCAGAAAACATTGAATGGTGCTGTCTGTGCCCCAGCCAGCTGCTTCAAATCTGTAAGTTAATATTGCAACTATTGAAAGTATAAAACTCTTTCTCATTCTTTCTGTCTTACAGAAAATACTGTATTGTTTTGTATCTTTCATCTTTATTGTTTGTGAACTTTTAAATTCATTTTTTGACTACATTTATACATTATTAGAACTTTTAACTGTTTCAAGGTTCATTATTTTCACTACTGAATGGTTTTTATCAGGTGTTCTATATTTCTACTGGATTTTGTGTAATTAAATCAATTGGTGATGAAATAATATGAACATTCCAAGCTGATCTCTATAACTTTACTGACAGACTGTGCACAAGCTCTATAATTTAATGACAGACTGTGCACTAGCTCTATAATTCAATGACAGACTGTGCACAATAAAATTCAATTTACAGACTGTGCACTATACAATTCAATGACAGACTGTGTACAATACAATTCAATGACAGACTGTGCACTATAATGTTTCAATGAGACTTTTTCTATAATTAAAGGAACCTTCATCACCAAGAAGAAATGAGTTTAAAGTTGGTATGAAGTTAGAAGCAGTTGACAGGAAAAATCCCATGTTGATATGTCCAGCAACAGTGGGAGCTATAAATGGTGACCAGATACATGTTAGGTAATATTTCTTCATGTATCATATTTGTCAGTATGTATTTGAGCCATGTCACAACAAAAGCAACATAGTGCATTTGCGACCAGCATGGATCCAGACCAGCCTGCGCATCCGCGCAGTCTGATCAGGATCCATGCTGTTCGCTAACAAACCCTATTACAAGTAGAGAAACTGATAGCGAACAGCATGGATCCTGATCAGACTGCGCAGATTCAGACTCTACTGGGTTTGCATTCATTTTTCCTTAATAACACTGTTGTTAACTTACCAGGAAGTGCAATCCAACATGACTGATATAAGCTGTAAGAACTTGTTTCATGGTTCATCATAAATAAATATCTTTTAACTTATTGAGATTTTTAACTTTTAAATTAAAAAATCTCACCTTTTTATATAGGCACAATGTTTATAAATTAAGCAGTAGTAGAGCAGAAATAAGAATTCATTCTCATTAGTTATGGTATATATATAATACAATATACACACCGGTACCGTTGGCCTAGTGGTTAAGGCGTCCGCCTTCGGATCGGGAGGTCGAAGGTTCGAGCCCCACGGGGAGCGTTAATTGAAGGATGAATGTTTCTCGTGGGACTCGTTCCGAAATGGCCGCTTCGTGAGCCGCGAGGTAGTTAAAATGAATGGTTACCGATTTCTATCCGCCTGGCGCCTGGCATAGTGGTAGGAATTGGGAGGTACATGGTATGCAACCAAAAGGTGTCTCATAAGTCAAAATGGCTGGCCCTTTCAGTAGGGGTGACACTATAATAAACAAGACCTTTACCTTTACCTTTTATTTACAGATTTGATGGTTGGAAAGGTGCGTTTGATTATTGGTGTCGGTATGATGATAGAGATATCTATCCTGTTGGTTGGTGTGCTAAAACAGGGCATCCTCTACAACCTCCAGGACAGAAAGAAAAACGTAAGTTCTACACCATATATATATATAGAAAAGCTGAAAATCCTGCTTGATTTGACAGAGCAGGCTGCTTCAAAAGCATACTGGGGTATATATATTAAGTCAGGACAGATTACATGGATGTGTATTCAGTCTAAGCTGTATACAGGGATGTATAATTGGTAAAGTAAAGGATAACAATGTCAGTCGGACAAGACTGCAGCCATTGTCATGGATACATGCTTCTTTTGTCAATGTTTAAGAGTTGTAATTTTATTATGTCAAATAAATATCTTGTCTCTACCTTTCATCAGTTTACTTCTTGGTATATGAAACTGAGAGTTGTTAATTTTACTGTAAACATTTGACATGCCTTTATTAAACAGGAAGAAAATAGAAATGAATTATTTTATCCTTGTAAAATAATTGACCCAGGAAGCTGTGTTTAGATTATATAATAAATTATTTACTATCAGAGGTAACTATAAATTCTATTAGTTACAACCAGGAAATTATTTGTTAATGTGAAATGTCCTTTATGTTAATGAGTGGACAGTATCTGAAATGTAACAGAATATTATTTCAATCATCCAACAAAACCACATTATAACAGTTATTATGTGGTTTTGTTGGATGATTGAAATAATATTCTGTTACATTTCAGATACTGTCCACTCATTTTAATATCTTATACTCATTTTGGCACTAAAGTAATTTTGAAAAAGTAATATGTTTATGCCCCTCCCACCACCCTTGAACTTCTGTCCTGTTTCCAGTCCCACTGTCTGCCTGTGTGGGCATCTCTTTTTAGCTCACCTGTCACAAAGTGACAGGGTGAGCTTTTGTGATCGCTTTTCGTCCGGCGTCTGGCCGTCTGTCAATCGTTCGTCCGTCCGTAAACTTTTGCTTTAAATGACATCTCCTCATAAACCACTGAGCCAATTTCATCCAAACTTCACAGGAATGTTCCTTTGGTGGTCACCTTTAAAAATTGTTCAAAGAATTTAATTCCATGCAGAACTCTGGTTGCCATGGCAACCAAAAGAAAAATCTTTAAATATCTTCTTTTAAACAACCCTAAGAGCTAGAGCTTAGATATTTGGCATGAAACATCTTCTAGTGAGTGTCTACCAAGTTTGTTCAAATAAAAGCCCTGGGGTCAAAATTGGCCCCGCCCCAGGGGGTCATTGATTTTCCCTATATGCATATAGTAGTAAAAACTTAAAAAATCTTCTTTTAAAGAACCCAAAGAGCTAGAGCTAAGATATTTGGCATGAAACATCTTCTAGTGAGTGTCTACCAAGTTTGTTCAAATAAAAGCACTAGGGTCAAAATTGGCCCTGCCCCAGGGGGTCATAGATTTTCCATATATGCATATAGTAAAAACTTAAAAAATCTTCTTTTAAAGAACTGTAAGAGCTAGAGCTTAGATATTTGGCATGAAACATCTTCTATTGAATGTCTACCAAGTTTGTTCAAATAAAAGCCCTGGGGTCAAAATTGGCTCGGCCCCATGGGGTCATTGATTTTCCCTATATGCATATAGTAAAAACTTAAAAAATCTTCTTTGAAAAAACCCAAATAGCTAGAGTTAGATATTAAGCATGAAACATCTTTAAGTAAATATCTTCAAAGTTTGTTCAAATAAAAGCCCGGGGGTCAAAACTGGCCCTGCCCCAGGGGTGTCATTGTTTTTAACAATATGTGTATAGTAAAAACTTAAAAAATCTTCTTTTAAAACATCCAATGAGCTAGAACTTAGATGTTTAGCATGAAACATCTTCTTATGGGTGTCTACCGAGTCTGTTCAAATAAAAGCCCTTGGGTAAAAATTGGCCCGGGGGGTGGGGGGGCTATATACAGGTGAGCGACCTCAGGGCCATCATGACCCTCTTGTTTAGATTGACACATTTAAGATTTTAATAATGTTTCAGGTCTTGGGGGTGGTTTTTTCGTTTTTTGTGTTTATATTTTGAATAAACTTCTTTTGTGTGTTTATGATATAGTTTTAATCAATTTGTCTCTATCATCAATGTTGTTGATGATATGATGATAGTTTGAATCTAACAAAGATTGTTTTGCGTTTTGCTGTGTTATATGATAAAATGATGTATGTAAATGTCTGTATATATGTTTATTATAGCAATACCACAGAAGCCTATTAAAGGTCGTGAGTCCACATCTACCATATCACCTGTCAGCAAGAATTCCAGAACTACTAGTCCCTCACCCAGACCTTCTAGTCCCTCTAACTCTGATGGTCAACCGGTGTCACCACGAGATTCACACAAGTCAGTTGTCACGGTAACTGAACCAGATACAAGCTCACCTCCCCTAGGTAAATATTATTTTGTATTATTATGACATATAGTGCATTTCATTTTGTTCTGTATTTCTTAAAATGGCATCAACACTTGTATGTTGCTGACTTCTTGGTTTAATTGGTTGTATAAAAGAGTAATACATATATTTCTTGATGGTATAGAAGTGTTCAAATACAAAAGAAAAAATCTAGATATGTTTATGATATTTTGTTCCATTAATGTTATGCGACTTATTATCCCCCGCCGATGGAATCGGGAGGGGGATATAGTTTTGGCGTTGTCCGTCCTTCTGTCCGTCCATCCGTCCGTCCGAATTTCGTTTCCGGACTAGTTCTCTGCAACTACTGGCTGGAATTCAACGAAACTTTATGGGAATCATCAATATAAAGAGGAGATGCGCATATCGTCGGCTTGTTCCGGTCAGACCCTTTAACTCAGAGTTATGGCCTTTGTTAGTTATGTAGTATGAATATAGAGTAAAAATCGTTTCCGCACTACTTCTCTGCTACTGCTGGCTGGAATTCAACGAAACTTTATGGGAGCCTTCAATACCAAGAGGAGATGCGCATATTGTCGGCTTGTTGGGGTCAGACACTTTAACTCAGAGTTATGGCCCTTGATTAGGTATGCAGTATGCATATGGAGTAAAAATCGTTTCCGCGCTACTTCTCTGCAACTACTGGCTGGAATTCAACGAAACTTTATGGGAATCTTCAATACCAAGAGGAGATGCGCATATTGTCGCCTTGTTCCGGTCAGACACTTTAACTCAGAGTTATGGCCCTTGATTAGTTATTCAGTATGCATAATAGAGCAAAAATCGTTACCGCCGTACTTCTCTGCAACTACTGGCTGGAATTCAATGAAACTTTATTGGAACCTTCAATACCAAGAGGAGATGCGCATATTGTCGCCTTGTTAGGGTCAGACATTTTAACTTAGAGTTATGACCCTTGATAACGTAGGCAGTATACAACCAGAGCAATAATCGTTTCCGTCCTTCTTTTCTGTAACTAATGGCTGGAATTCAATGAAACTTTATGGGATACTAAGAGGAGATGTGCATATAGTCGCCTTGTTCCGGTCAGATACTTATAACTCAGATTTATGACCCTTGATTAGTTATGCAGTATGCATACATCTCATTGGCATTTCCAGATATTACTATTTAACACAAAGTTATGGCTCTGTTATTGCCTTGAATATTTATCAAGTTCAAAGAATATTACTGTTAATGCCATGATAAATATATAAATAAAGCCTTATGTCTTCAGTTGTTGTGTTAATAATAACCAGTACTCGGCGGGGGATATAAATTCAACCAATTTGCTTGTTTGTTTTAATTTAGTTAAATCTTAAATAGAATAGGTTAAATAGAAGTTTTCAAATACAAAAAAAATCTATATATGTTTATGATATTTTGTTCCATTAATGATATGCCACTTATTTGTTGTAATTTGGTTAAATTTTTGTTTATCAAAGTTTGGACCAAGTCTTGGAAGATAAATATTTTAGTAACAATTTCTCCATAGATCCTTACTGCCTGCTTTGAGCAGGTAACCAATAATTTGATGTTATTGTATTGCATTACAAATTACAACAAATGCTTTTATGATATGTTTTCAGTGTGTGTGTATGTAAACCATGGATGTTACTGTGGACCTTACCTCAATCAGCAGAAAGTAATGCGTTTACCGTCCCAGTATGGTCCAGCAGTCATGAACAGGGTGCTATATGATGTGCTGAAAGGTTGTCTTGAGTCAGCAATCACAGAGAGAGATGTGTTCAATCTGATACCTGAAGGTCACGGTCGTGTTGTCATCTCTGGTAACATATTTATACATCTGTGTCTGTTTATTTTATAATAACTGGTTTAAGATGTTACATCAAACAGTGTAACTTACGTTTTTTTTTATAATTTGAACATACTAAATTCTAAAAACCTAGAATTGGTAATGCATACATGCCATAACATCTCAGAAATCAGATGACTGTCCCAAAGTTGTCAGAGATGATTTTATGTGCCATTAGGAATAAAAATCTGAAATTATCTCCTTTGCAGTGAGAAATAATTCAATTTTGTGCAGTCTTATTGTCAAGTTATTACTATCTATTCTAGAATGCTGATAATGAAAGGATTATCCCCAGTATAGCAAAATATATGAAATGGTGACACTAATCCTTTGATTGGTAAATCTTTGTGGGCTAAATTTTATTCTAATAAAAGCTTAATGTGAGTAAATAATCAAGTCTTCAGGAATCGGTGAATGTTTCAGCTATTTTTACTAAAACAATGGCTAATTGTCCATACTTAAATAACTTAAATAGCTTTATGCTATTCTGTGATTGAATTTATGAACTCTTATTACTTTTAAAGTAAGATGGATAAACCTGCCAATTACTATTGACAAATTGTAAATACTGATACAGGTAATGACAGTTGTATGCCACTATGTATATTTCAGAAACAATTTGCTAGCTGATCTTATTGACCTCGGTGATGTAACTGGCCCAGGTTCAGGTTTGATAACCTTAAAAAATTGATACTAGGCCATAATAATCTATTTAAAATCTTACATTTATAACAAATACTGTATATTTACAGCAACTCACGGCCACAAGTCTCTGACAAAGCGTGTTATTGCTGTAGAGAATGACACTCAGTTATGGAACATGTTAAATAAACTAACAGATGATATGGGATGTTGTGAGGACCTGTTTGCTGCATCACCTCTCAATAATGTCTGTCAAAAATGTACCAGAGCTAACAGATCAGGTGATATATAACTCTCATTTTCTCGGCTTTCTTTTAAACTATGGTTCTGAAGTATGGGTATTAAATATGGGGTGTTCATGCTTTTGGAACACCTAATCTTTTACCAGTAAGCAATCTCATAATATAGACAATGAAGTAATTCTACGGTGTGACTGTAGATGTAAACAAAGGCAGAGTGTGTAACCCTTGTATAATGAGAAACAAATGTATTTATTGGACATTTGTAGGAAAATAAATAGTATTTCGGTAAAAATATGTCTGACAATAGGAATCTATTTAAAAGTACCTGTTGACATGTGATTATAATCAAATCTGAAATATTGTCAACAGGTATGTCATTTGTAATTTCTGTTTGTTAAAATATGATACCATATAGATACATCTAGTTACTTATTTTAAGGCGACTTCCATATGTTAAATACTTAGTAAACAAATAACAAATGTTTCTTGCTACTTGTTTACATGTTTAATTTGTGTATTGTGTTTTGAGATCCTTATCTGAAGTTTTAAATTACTCTCAGCTGAAAATAATCACAATGTGAATAAAATACCGACCATATTTGTAAAAATACAGATGTGTTGGTATAGTCAAAGTTCTGTTTTATTATATTTAAATGTATATGTTTGGTATATCATTGTCACAGACTCAGAAGGTCAGCAGTCACTAGATAGTAGATCCACAAAATCAAATCCACGCAGACGTTGGTCCACAGAATCTTTGGAGAGTCTGCGTAACACAAAGGCCAAAGTGCGACGGTCCAACGAGGCAGAAGCAAGTTCAACAACAGTTGATACGAGAATACACAGACCACGAGATCCGTCAGAATGGTCAATAGATGATGTGGTAAAACACATTTGTGATACAGACATGGCATTAGCACCACATGCTGTGCTCTTTAGAAAACATGTAAGTTATAAATTGTTATGAAATCAACTCCTTGAGAGGACATACTAGCCTAAATATATTTTAGAATTTTTCAGGACACAAAAATCAAAAGACCTTGTCCAGATTTAAGTAAACCTTTCAGTGCATTTTTATGTCACCGTCATGACAATGGCAAGAGGGTGTCTGTCTGTGGGTAAATGTGTTTGTTGGAAAACTTTGTCTCGGTCTTGTAATGAGGGATTTTGAAAGAACTTGGCACAAATATGTTACATGATAGGATGATGTGTCACGCACAAGAGCTTGACCCCTAAATCCCAAGTCAAGGTCACACAGGTCAAAGATCAGCAGTTAGATAATCTTGTCTGGCTCATAACTCTAATTCATCAAGGCATTTTGAAATAACTTGGCACAAATGTGTAGCATGATGAGATAGTGTGTCATGCCCAATCTCCAGACCCCTTGGTCTAATTTCAGTCAGCAGTTATAAAATCTTGTCCAGTGCATAACTCTGTCATGCATCAACGGATTTTGAAGTCATTTAGCAAAAGCAATTTTGATAATCAATGCTTTCATTTGATGATAAAAATAATTGTTTAAAAACCTATTGAACTTTTATCTTTCAGTTTTATGCTCCAGTACAGACTAAACTAAAAAATCTGTGCTCTGCCTCTCTAAAATTAAGGTCTTGTGAATATTAAAATTCTGTTGTTATCAACAGTCATTTGCCCTCTTACTATATAAGGTATTTTATTGCAAAAACAGTTCATGAAATATTAACTATGTGTCTTTGCATAACATCTTTATTTATATTAATTGGTGCCCTTAAATATGTGGTGAGGGTATCCATGTTTTTCAGACACATTTCTAATCTGTTACAATTTCTAGACTGTTACAATTTCTAGACTGTTACAATTTCTAGACTGTTACAATTTCTAGTCTGTTACAATTTCTAGTCTGTTACAATTTCTAGACTGTTACAATTTCTAGACTGTTACAATTTCTAGACTGTTACAATTTCTAGTCTGTTACAATTTCTAGACTGTTACAATTTCTAGTCTGTTACAATTTCTAGATTGTTACAATTTCTAGACTGTTACAATTTCTAGATTGTTACAATTTCTAGATTGTTACAATTTCTAGACTGTTACAATTTCTAGTCTGTTACAATTTCTAGATTGTTACAATTTCTATATTGTTACAATTTCTAGATTGTTACAATTTCTAGATTGTTACAATTTCTAGATTGTTACAATTTCTAGATTGTTACAATTTCTAGTCTGTTACAATTTCTAGACTGTTACAATATTTCAGGAGATTGATGGTAAAGCACTGTTGTTGTTGAACAGTGATATGATGATGAAATATATGGGACTCAAACTGGGACCTGTCCTTAAACTGTGTAACCTGATTGACAGACTTCGCCAGCGCAGATGAATAATGTTCAACTTTGAACAATTGAGACAGAGTGCACGAGATTATCTTGTAGCTGAACAATAACAGGACAGAATGAAATGTTTAGATGATGGAAATGTATATATAGGCATTTGGTTTACTTTAAGCATGTTTTGACTTATGGTCTGGTTGAAGGATGTTGTAATTTACTAATTGACAATTTTGAATTACCATATCATATGCTTATCTGATGTATTACTGTTCTCATATTTCAATTTATTCTTATTTAGACCCTGTTTAAAGACTTGAATGTTTTTGAGTCATGTGAATTTGATAATTTAATGAACATAATTCATCTTGTACACCTCACATGTTGTTTAGGAAATAAATAGAGGGTCCATTGTTCATGTTGGTTGGTGAGGTGTAATTTGTAGGTTTTGTTATTATAGTAACAAATTTTCAATGGTAGCTAAACTTTTCTTTAACAGGGAAATTAATTCTTGGACTCTTTTTTTATTAGCTCACCAGAACCGAAGGTTCAGGGTGAGCTATTAATATCAAAGGGGGATGCTCTGACGTCCGGTGTCATGTTTCAACAATCGTCTTCTTCTCTGAAACTGCTGGGCAGATTTACTTCAAATTTGGTCTGTAGCATCCTTGTGACAGTCACACTTGAATTTGCTTATGTCATTTCAATTGGCCCCTTTTAGGGGTCTCCAGGGCTAAAAATAGAAAAACCTTTAAACATCTTCTACAGAACTAATGGATGAATGATCACCAAACTTTGTCTGTAGCATTCTTAGGTAGTCTTTTATCAAGTTTGCTCATGTTAATTTGATTGGCCCCTTTTATGGGCCACTTAAGCTAAAAATAGAAATACCTTTAATCGTCTAATTCTACAGAACTAATTGATGGATGATCACCAATTTTTGTCTGTAGCATTCTTGGGTAATCTTTTATCAAGTTTGCTCATATTAATTTAATTGGCCCCGTTTAAGCTAAATCATAAATGCCCCAGGTCATGGCATTTCTTCAAATTATTTGTTTGCTCAAATTAGATATTAGAAAATATTGACAATGGATAATTTCCACACTGAAAAGCACTTGTTTTTGGTGAGCGACTCAGGGCCACCATGGCCCTCTTGTTTGTTTATTAAGAAAATAACTTGTTTTTTCATAATCTGAAATAAAACAGGAGTTGTATATAGTTGTTAACATGGTGCAGACTTGTAAATACACTTGTAGTTTGATTATTAAGCTTGTAATATTTTGCTAGGTGATTAAATTATACATATATTGAATGATTTAATGATTGATGATTGTTTTAAGCTGTTTGGTCCACATTTATTTTGGTATATAATGTTGTTTGTTTAGAATATTATAATACCGTATAAGTACTTATTTCTGCGGGCTTAATATTCTGCGATTTTTGTTAAAATAGGGGGTTTTAAATTTCTGCGTATCTTATTTCTACGGTGTCACCATTCTCGAATTGATATTTTTTATTTCTGTGTTTTGATTTAGATATCTTTACAAAATTAACTGATACAAACAAACAACATTTCAAGATTTGTTGATGTATCATGTACAATACTTTATGTTAACATGCAGACGACTTATAATGTGTTTCATCATAATCATCATGTATCGGTATATAAACGTTAATAAACAAAAACCAACAACGTGCAATGACAACAATTAATTGTAATACTGCATGTGTATAAATATGAAGTGTGAAAAAAAAACAATGGTAAAATTGTACATAGACATAAGATATTGTTCAAATACAAAAGGATATGTTTATTACACCCGCCAAACTATAATAGTTTTATTTTACAAAAAGAAATCAAACTTAGGGTGAGCGAAAATCATACAAACATGATATTTATTTAAACAAAAAGAGCAAGTAAAGTACTTTTTTTCTAATATTTTATGCATGCATTTTATATATTCCGACATAGACATAGGGAAAGGCTTAATTTTCTGCGGATTTTTAATCTGGGGTGTTGTTAAGAACCGCAGAAATAGCAGAAATAAAGTTCCCGCAGAAAAAAGTACTTATATAGTATTGGGCATGTTTATTTAATCTTAATTAAAGTTTATTAATAGGTTAATACACAGCAGAGTGATAATCAGCCGCAAAATGAATAAAGGCCTCGAGGGCATTATTCATTCCAGAGAGCCGGTTATCTATTTCTGACCGGTCTATTTTGTTTAGCAGGTCAATTATGATTATGAGTTTTTGGCCCACTCACAAACTCATAATCTGCAGGTGACTCTGTTGAAGTCATACGCAATTTTGTTACTATATATAGTAACAAGTGTATTTAATAGATCTTTCGTAACTTTTTCTTTTTTGATCATATTAAAAGAAATATTTTTCATTGGATTAAGTTTGCTTGTAAAGTTTTAGCAAATCAATAATTACATGAAAAATGAAAGATTCACATACCTCTGTAAATTTATCAATATAATAAATAAGAAAAAATAACAATTTAACTCCTATATTATGTCAGAAGTTTTAGGAAAATCAATTTTTAAACATGTAAAAGAAAATGTTGACCAAACAGTTACCTTTATATTGAAAATGTATGGTGCATACTTTGGGAAATCATGATTTGAATGTCTTGTGCATAATTTCAAACATCTTGATATGGATGTATGGTGCAAAATGTGGGACATCTTAATGTGAATGTATGGTGAATAATTTGGACCATTGAGCTGTATAGTAATGTTAGTTTAATTCTCATTTGTCTATTATACAAACACCTTGTTATTATGAACAATTTTCTCAATCTGTTTTTGAATTTAAATGTTCATGGTTATAAAAAGAATAGATTTAACTCAATAATTTTACACAATTTCTTTTATACATTTCATAAATATTTGAAAAAGGCATTACAAATATTTGAATGGGACATAATCAATGAGTGAAACGAACATTTTTTGAATGCCGTATTGCTTAATAATTTATTTAATTTGGATGAAGTAAATCAGATTCTTACAAGATTTATTCAGCAGAAAAAAATCAAGAAATGTATTTATAACATATTTTAGTAACATCATTGTTAAAGTTGCATGCCTCCAGATGAGCCAAAATATTTTTCAAGAAAATAAAACTTGAGCAAAATGTACTAAAATCTTAAAAGAAAGTAAAAAGAAATTCAAGATTCAATTTATATTAAACATGTTATGTGTGATTAATGACTGATGTTTTAGTATTATATCACCATATTTCTATGTCATGACTAATGCAGTTAGGAATATTTCGGCATATTTTGACCGCTCTTTGGTTACTTTCATGGGTTTTAAGTGCTGTTTGCAGTGTGTAAATTACTTTCTTTGTTCACTTCACAATATTTAAGTTTTAAATAAATTTTAGAAACTTTCATTAAAATTAGAATTTAATGGAGGCATGCTGCTTTAAAATGTATGTTCTTAACTGAGAGAGTTGTAGCTTTGATAATAATTTGCCTTACTACCAGTAAAGACTGCCTGCCTTTATATAATGTCAGACTTTATTCTATTGTTGGCAGCTCAGATTCAGTATTTGGATTATGAAATCCCTTATTCTAGTGGCAGACAAGCACTCAATATTAAGTTTATTAGAATAAAAAGTATAAAATATTATCATGACAGTTTTAAGTTGATAAATTTGTACACAGATTGTGAGAATTGCTGGAGATCTGTTTCTAATAGACGTTAGACTGGAATTAAGAATATTTGGGGTTTTCCCAGCGAATCCGTAGCATCAAACAAACTTACAGTTACAGCTTAAAAAATAAGCGCAACAGGTTGACTAATTTATTGTGTCGGGTAGTGCACTGTGAAGCTATAATGGCAAAAGTTTATTTTTATCTACAGATTAGCTGGGAAACCCACATCTTCAGAGTTCCAGAAAACATTAGAAACCTTTACCTTACACTGTATATATGACAATATGTACATGTTATCACATTTCATATGGCATTTTGCAATTTTCTCTACAAGTCTTTATTTTGTTGACAATACCTCCTAACGTTTTATGCAAGAATTGAACATTTTGTTAAGCCTCAAACATTTGTGATACTGATATGTATGTTTTCTTATATGAGCCGCATCATGACAAAACCAACATAATGGGTTTGCGACCAGCATGGATCCAGACCAGCCTGCGCATCCGCACAGTCTGATCAGGATTCATGCTGTTCGCTATCAGTTTCTCTACTTGTAATAGGGTTTGTAAGCGAACAGCATGGATCCTGATCAGACTGCGCGGATGCGCAGGCTGGTCTGGATCCATGCTGGTTGCAAACCCATTATGTTGGTTTTGTCATGACACGGCTCAATTATGACATTGATGATTCTCATGTTTTGATATAATCATTTCTTTTTATTGTAGAAGATCTGTGTATTGTCGTGTTAGATGTTTATAAATGTACCCTATGAACTAGAATGATGTGTTACTTGACATTATAAAACCAGCCATTTGAGTTTAATTAGGAAGTGGACTGAAATTTGTAGATGTTTTTGTGACATATTTTTAAATATATATAGGAAAACAAATGAAAACCTATATGAGCTTGTTAAAGTTGGTTGGAGTTGTTTTATTTCACAACTTAGATTGTACAGTTTATAAATTGTCTTTGATCTTAACCTGCTGCTGGACTATATAATTATGCAACTCTATAGTTATTAATAAATGTTTAGCATTTCATTGGTAAAACTGAAATTTAGAATTATTTTTTCATAAAGGTGTTTTTCCTTGACAAATTTGTTGAAAAATAACAGATTCTAGTTGATATGTTAAAGAGTTGTTCATGATTACAACTATTTTGTATTTCTTATTAAATTTGAATTTACTTCTTTGCCAGAATTGATTAAATATGCTAAATTTGGTTCTTTTTATTATAACCAAATCTGCTTGTATTACCATATAACAGAATTTAATCTTGACCAGAAAGTCAACTTTGGTGTTTTTGTTGAAGGTAGTTAACAAAGTTGATGAGGGTTTTGTTTTCTTTTGTTTTTTTGTGGGGTTTTTTTTTCTGGTCATTTGCTTCATTAAAAAATGTGTCACTTTTTTGTAGCCTGACTCACTACAGTTAATATGTCAGTGACATTTTTGTTAAAATACGTTCAGTATTTTTGTGACTCTAGCTATTTTGTAACTTTTTTGAATGTGTAGGGAATAAAATCTATCTATTAACTTTAAAAATAAGTAAAGTAATAAGATGCCATATTGTAATTGTTTTGATATAAAATTGTATGTTCACTGGACAATACCACTGAACTTTTTTAAAACATATCTAGGGCATGTTTATGAAATAAATGGCAAATAAAGCTCGTAAATTTTATTTGATAATGTAAATGCTTTAACTAATTCTGTATATTTTTGTAAAAGAATCAAAACATTATCATAACATTGTTCTAATTAGAAAATAATCTTTAATCTATATGAATAGTTATTGTTGTATCTGATGATGTTTCTTAAATAATTCAGACTGTAAACCAGTCTCAGAATACTGTCATGTGATTGGTTCACTTCAAATATTGTTGTAGAATCACCCAATAGGAAACAGGCTGTTAGACTGGTATTCAAAACAGTGTACATTTTTGAAGTCTGTAAATAGTCTGGTTTGTAGCAGATGAGATTATGATCATCCATCATATAATGTAAAAATGATGTTTGTTTTTTCTTGTTTGGTTTAATAAAATTTGAATTAAAGATCTTGTAACACAATTTTTTTATGGTTTTATATCATAAATATGATGCTCAAATTAAGATTTATCAATTTTGTAAGTTCCAAAAAGCATTATTTATAAAGATATTGTCAAATTTAACATTTCATGTAAATAAAGGGAGGTAATAAAAAGTTTAATTTCTATAAAGATTAAGTCAAATTTTACAATAAGAAATGAATGCATATATTCTAATGATTACATATAATATGTACAAATATTTGCAGTACAGTGTAACTTCCGAATTCCGGAACTTCTGAAATCCGGAAACTTCTAAAAACCGAACAATTTTTTCGGTCCCGATTTTTTCCCTTCTATTTTCTATTAATATCATACTTCTGAATTCCGGAACTTCTAAATTCTGAATTCCGGACGGTATTCTCGTAAAATTAGAGTCCAATCAATGCAATTTTACCTCCAAAAACCGGAAATATCCAAAGGTGTGAAATACATTGTAAACCCTGCAGGAAGATTTAATCTCCCTATCGATT